CTTCTACCTGAACCCCAAATGGCGATTTCAACCCTGTAAGACAAAATCTATCTGAAGGTTTCAGAAAAGACAACATTTGCCAGGAGGGAAAGGGAACAGAAGAAAATAAGCCAATGTCCCCGTTATCTCTAGCTTTGCCAATCTGAAACATAAGGAACAGTTTGCAATAATCACCAACCTTGAACATCATCTGTATGCAGTTATACCTTGTTTATAACTACACTTTATCTTTACATATTTACAACCACAATGTTCAAAGCCTCTTGTTATCCAGGGAGGTCAAGGCTATCAGCTACGGATGTCATTTTAATTAACTTCATAAAAAAAATAATAATCCTGCCATGTTGAAAGACTTTTCCCTTGCAGCAACTAGAGATATTAGGTTAGGCTGCCCCCTTGTGGTTTTTATCCACACACAATTTGAATATACTGAAATTTTAAAGGGTGGGTGAGTTGATTTTGAGTAGATATTAAAGGGAGAATGAGTACCTCAAGGGAAAATACACAGATCACAGGGTCCAGAATTCTACTAATTCTTCCATTAAGCCCGAAACTAATATTGTTGTCCATCCTAAAGCAAAAACTTTCATTTTTATAGAAGGAAGAAATAGAAGTGCCAGATTGAGGGGAACAACTGGGCAACAATACCTTAGGAAATACAGCTACACCAATTCCTAGTGAGTCTAACACGCTTGGAAAGGGCATGGCGACCGCTTGGCAGAGCTCAAATGTTTCTTTATTATTTTATCCACGTAGGGGGAAGGGGGGATCTGGCACCAAAGCTTTGCAGCTGGATTTCAAAGTGTGTCTTCTTTAGCAACTTTAGCAACCACCTTTCCTTGGCCTGGTGCCATCTAAATTTGTTTGATACAGAAAACAGATTACTGGCATTTTTCTTTATGTGCCGGCTACAGAGTAACCTGTTGATCAAGGAAGACCATCGGCTGCTGTAGCAATATTCCAAATCAGGGAGAGCTCAGCATAATTCAGAAGCTTACATGATAATAAACCAAGAGGCTCTGTAAGAGGCTGCAGTTACCTGCAAGGCGTAAGGATTTGCAGCCACGTCTATTAAGGAAGGAGCAGAATGATGCAGCAGCTTCCCCGGGTCAAATTAGTATCAAGCAAGTGAAAAAGAGCAAGCAGAGGCTTTTGGCCACCAGTCACTTGACCAGTTTAAGATTTCTAAAGATTTTTTTACATTTTAAGATTATTAAAAAAAAAAAAAGTGATAGAAATAGCAAACTGATCCTCACTACCCAGAGTCTGTCTGTACCTCTACTATTACTGTAAAGCAGTGTTTCCAGAGGTGGGATTCAGCCAGTTCGCACCACTTCAGGAGAACCGGTTGTTAACTTTCTGAGCAGTTTGGTGAACTGGTTGTTCGAAGAAATCATTAGGGCAGAGAACCGGTTGTTAAATTATTTGAATCCCACCACTGAGTGTTTCCCAATCTTAGCAGCTTTAACATGGGTGGACTTCAACTCCCAGAATTCCCCAGCCAGCAAGCTTAGCTAGGGAATTATGGGAGATGAAGTCCACTCTTAAAGCTTAAAGCTACAGGGCTGGGAAATACTGCTATAAAGAATGAGAGTTCAAAAAATAACTACTCTTAAGGTTCAATCCTCATCACTCCTCTAACCCTAACAAGAGTTTCCACTGCCCACAGACTCTGCTCCGCTGGGAAACACAGGACTCCCAACACAAAACTCAACAGTTTTGTCTCCCCTTTTCCCTCCCTAAAATTTAATCGGCTCCAGATATTAGAGTTTTAACTCCGAGAATTCTCAGCGTTGGCCATGGAGAAAGTTGCCTTGAACTTCACTTCTTTGCTGGGAGACGAAGCCTTTCAAACCTTAACTACAATTGTAAAACAGAACGTGAAAACAGAGGTGCTTGCTTTTCTCGGCTGCCTTGTCTTACAGGTGATGCCATGCAATTCTATGGATACATGCTTGCAAAAAAAAATTACATTTTTGTGATGTGCTCCACTGCTGTCTGCCAGAAGAAAAAGCACTCCTGAAAGAACAAAGTAGGAAATTGGGACAAGATGCATTTTGATAATTAGAACTGGAGGAGGAGTCAGAAAACCAGGCTGCAGAGCCAAGAGTGGCTCTATCCTCTCTCCAGTGAATCACTTTATACCTGGATGCAAAGAGTCAGCAAAGTCATTGCCAGCCAACCGTTGCTTTTCTGCTTCCATTGGAGCAGAATCAGAATCGCAAAGAGATCAACGGCTAATTGATAGGCACATACTCTGGCAGGCTCGGTCCCCAGAGCCTCTGGTTCAAAAGAATGATTGGAAGCAGATTCTCTTAAAGCTGTAACCCATCAGGACAGATTACATCCCCCTCTTCCACCTCAGTCATTTTTCCTCCCGATGTATCTTCTGATTATTTTTTTTTAATGTACAACGGCGTAAAGAGTGAAATGGATTCTAGTTTCTTAGCCGCTCAGACAACACCGTCTTTAACCCTTGTTTTAAAAAAATACTCCCATTTCCCCATTTAAGGGTCCCCATGGGAAGAGAGACTGCCATGCCAGGAGCTCTGTGTGCTTGACATTTGCCTCTGCCGCAATCACAAGAGTCAGATTGCCCACAGTGTATTCTTGGAAGGAAAAAGGACAGAGGTCCCTAGCTAGCGATTAACCCCAATGCTGAGGTTAGGGCCATAAAAAAGGGACAGAAAGACGCTTAGCCTGATAGGATTACAATGGCAAGCAGAAAGTGAGCCAATAAATCAGGCTCAGTCAGGGCAAGATCCCTGCATGCCACTTGCTGCCCAACAGGAGCACCCCATCTGCATTTCCTCAGTGCAGAAAGACTCCCAGGCAGAGCATGCCCAGCCCCCTCCCTCCTGGTGAAACGGGGGGGGGGGGAAGGGGGGGCGGGGGGCGGAACCATCTCAAGGGAATTTCTACAACCAACCAGAATCAGAATCACCCAAGTAGATTTAGCTTTCTGAGATCTAAAAACTCAAACTGTTCCCAAACAGCAACACATTTGCAACAGAGGCATGAGAACTGTGACGAATCCATGCATGTGCATTTTTAAAATTGATTTTAAAAAATTCATCCAGCACTGAAGTACAACAATGGAGTGTTTGCCCACCAGTAGACTAAATATTTCAAAGGCCTGGCTAAAATGTCTATGGAGAGCCTCGGTCGTCCAGGTCATGGTTGTCCCAATGGTGCTTTTTCAAAAGGCAATGGGACTTTCTGGTTTTTCTTTGAAGACGTTTCGCTTCTCATCCTCATGACTGCAGAAATGCAAGTGTGGTGCTGCTACTCGGCAGCAAATGGCATACAGGAATCTTGCCCTGCCTGAGCGAGCCTGAAGTCAGAACTGAAGAAGCTTCTTGGATGAGAAGCAAAATGTCTTCAAAGAAAAACAAAATCCAGTTGCCTTTTGAGAAAGCACCTTTGGGAAAAGCCTGGCTAGATCTGAGCAAGTCTATCATATTCAAATCCCTAATGTGTATATATTAAAGAATATAATATAGTGTGATCTCAAAAATCATGATAAAAAGTACCCAATTATAAACAAAACAGTTCCAAAAGTATATAACTGTATTGCTCAAAGGCTATACAGATTTTTACTTATACATACATGCCTCTGTATACATACATGTATCTGTGTGTATATATTTATGTTGTTCAAAAACAAAAATACTTCAAGCAACCACATCCAAAACTGTACATAAGTCTTTATCATGATCTATCATTTATATAAACTATATTCATGTTTTCTATATCAAATACCTTTCCTATCTGCCCAGTTCTTACCTCATTCAAAATATGTAGAGATTATTGCTTTTAATTTTCATGTTGTGCTTTATGGAATACATAAAGCACAACATGAAAATTAAAAGCAATAATCTCTACATATTTTGATGCGTTAGCATCCAAGTACCACACTTCCAATGTGTAATGAGCTAGTTAATGAATGGAAATGCTTGAGCGAGCTTCCTCTACTCATTAAAACACATTTCCAATGTTTGTTTTATCCACTTGTCAAGTTGCCAATTCATACCAGATTCCAATCTCAAGAGAAAAAGGGGCGAACTATATAGTTCCATTGTAATTGCGCCAAATATTTGAACATGGAGAATTTCTTCACACTTTTATCTAAAAAGGCTTTGCTTTTCCCTTTCATTTTTTTGATAGCCATTAGGGATGACAAAGGTCTCCAGTTTCTGCCATGACAACTGTTCCAGCATGAATGATTCAATCCACAAATCAAATACAGCTATTAGATAATCACTGTGATTGGAAAGTTACAAGAGCTCTTTTTCCAGAAAGCAAGAATGAGGGCCAGCCTACTAATCACTAAGCATTTAGACAAGTGAAAAAAAAAGTACATAATATGTCCTTTGGAATATCTGAGTTGATGCCCCAATTAAAGCTTTCTATTTGTGATACATATTTTTTATTTCATTTTTAAATTGTTTTGTGCAGTGTTCCATCCTAGATTGCTCCTAGAGGAATAGTAGAATCTTATTCTTAAGAACTAAATATCGTATTTTTCGGAGTATAAGACGCAGCTTAGTTTTTGGGGAGGAAAATAGAGGGAAAAAATCTGCCTACCAGGTATTCATCTGGCTAGCGTCCTTAGGTCTGGTCAGCTTCAGCACATTAGTTTGCTGGGTTTTTTATCCCCTGCTTGGGGATAAAAAACAGTTTCTAAGGCACAGCTGAGAGGAAGCAGCAATGAGAAAAGCAGGCAAAGCACAGGGAGATCGCTTCACTCGGCTAGCGCTTCGTTAGGGCTGAAAAAAAGCTTCATAAAAGCTACATTCGGAGTATACGACGCACCCAAATTTTCAGCCTCTTTTAGGAGGGAAAAAGGTGCGTATTATACTCTGAAAAATACGATAATACTATAATACATAATAAAGAGACGATTGCGGTATCAAAAATGGGATGATGCTCATATCATATGACCAAGCCACGCCAGCTCATGCCTTTCTAATTCAGTTCTCAGGACCTCACAGCCATACCTTTTTCAGCTTGTCATTCTCCTCCATATATTTCTTGGCAGCATCGCTTGCTCCTTCTGCCTGCTTCTTGAAGGCTTCATTAGAGGCCAGGGTGGTAGCATGCTGAGAAATTAGGGTAATCAGTCGCCTCAGGAGGCTGTAAAGATAAAGCTACTGTGGTTAAACCAGAGGCTCTCACCTTGACTTGACACAACAGAGAAGAAATGATATTAGATCCATTTCGAATATTTTCCCAAACGTGCAATTGTTATGTGAGTTATAGAACTACCTTCTGATTTCAAACTAAAAATGACAATCCTCAGGGTTGTCAAACTCAGGGCCCACGGGCCGGATTCAGCCCACGGGGTGCTTAGATCTGGCCCCCGGGGTTGCTCTGGAAACAGTGAAAGACCGGCCTTTCAGTGCCTCTGCCAGTGAAAACGGAGCTCAGGAGGGCCACACATGGCCCTCCCGAGCTCCGTTTTCACTGGCAGAGGGTTGCAGGAGGCCATCGCAACCGAAAACAGAGCTTGGGAGCCGCCCCCCCCCACCAGGTCAAAAACAACCCTGATGCAGCCCTCAATGAAATCGAGTTTGACACCCCTGGCCTAGACTCTTGCCTGCTACTTGGAACTAAGTCAACAATTCCTTAAGAGTTTTGCTAGACATAAAAAGCCCTGGCTGGTGGGTAAGTGGCCTAACTGATGAGATAATGATTTCAAACCTCAGCTTAGTCAACCTGCTTAGAAAGCTGTTGCCTTGACTGCCAATTTCCAACACTGAAACATTTCTCAAGACAGGCGCTATATTGAAAGAACAGGAAATGAGGAGCAAGAGTTGCCTTGATCAACATCGTATAATTTTAGATCTGAATTCAGTGCTGTATCCTTGAAGTGTACATTATCCCCAGTCAGAATAAAATGCACGCATTGCATATATAAATAAGACAAAAGAGCTTCCTGAGTGTATTTCTGGAGGGGAACTGAGGACAAAACAAAATAATACAGGAAGTGACAAGTACCACACTCCAGGAGTCACTAGAAAGGCTGCTGACAATTGGATTCCTGTTCACTAGAAGAGCAGGGAAGCAGGTAATTCCCACTAGGGACCATATTTCCCAAACTTATGTGATAAGCTTGCCTTGCACTGGATCTGGCTTCATGATATTCAGTTCTCATTATCCTTAGCCTACAGTGAGAACATCGATTTTCTATCCTTCCTATGTGGAAGGACCTATGTGGAAATATCAGGAATTGACCTGATGTATCCTCTTCGCATTGGGTAGACTGGGCCAAAGTGACACGGGTAGACCAGGCCAAAGCTATGCGGGCCGGCCCCTTACATTTTCCAGGTTGGCCCTGTGGGCCGGATCCAGCCCATAGGCCTTGAGTTTGACACCCCTGGACTAAGGTAACCAAAGTGAGTAACAAGCACCAAAGATAATGGGAAGTCTCAACCAAAGCACTACTTTAAGAAAGGACAGCACCAAACGGGTGCAAGAACAACTCTATTGGACCAATGCTACCAGTTATTCACACTTTGCTTACCTTGATACAGTTGCTGATCAGCGTCTCATCCAAGAAATCTGAAAAGCCCCCCAGTTTTGGCAACTCAATAGGCAATTTCTCTGACCTTCCCGGCAGTTAAGTTTACTGTCCTAGTTCTTCCCCTTTAATCAGGATTTGCTTCCAGCTGTAAAATACCTTTCATCCAAGGAATACACAATGGTATACATGGTATTTGCCACTCTCCACATATTTTATCCTCATGAAACCCCTGAAAAGTAAATTATGTTGAGAGATAGTAACTGTGATAAGCTTTATGGCTGAGTAGGGATTTGAACTTCAGAAAGAACAAAGTCCTCTAGCTGAAAAACAAGACGAAATGCAACAAAGAATAACCGAGTACCTAGAATAACAGAAAAATAACAGAGTAAGGTTGCCTCCATTGAAGACTGTAAGACAGAAATAACTAGCACAAGCATTAAAAGATGCCAATACTGCAATATCAAAGATAAGCTCATTGCAAGAATCAAAGCAATTGATGTATGGCACAGCTGCCATTATAACTGAAGATCTTGTATGCAAAATTAACAAGCAAGAAAAAAGCCAAACAGTGTACCGCCCAAATGGAAGATCAAACTGGCAAATGAGATCAGCATGTTAAGATCAGATGTAAGCAAGCGAGAACAGATAAAAGACGACCAAAAATATCTGATCAAGAAACATTACTTAAAGATAAAGGAGATCAAGGAAGCACTGGAAATAACAAAGCAGCAAATAACAGCTATAGCCAAGAAAGTTGACAGATATGATGCTCGAATTATGCATTAGAGGCAGAATCTCCCATTTTAGTAGAATCAGGAATGTTTTTACCAATCCATCAAAAAGAGAGAATGCAATGAACCTGACAAAAAAAGAAACAATGCAATTCTTGGCACAACTATGGGACAACCCAAAGAAATACAACAAGAAAGCAGTTTGGATAAGGGAGGTGGAAAAGGGGGGGAGGGGGAAAGCAGCTGAAATGAAAGAATTTGTAATAAAAGCAGAAATAGTGAAGAAAAGGACAACGAAGATCAAGAATTTGTCAGACCCAGGTGAAGACAAACTACATCATGGTTTTTGGTTGAAACATCTGACCAGTCTGCACCCACTCATTGCCAAGCAGTTTAACAACATATAGTAAGGGGGGTAAAATTGAAGATTGGTTAACATCTGGCAAAACCTACCTGATAATGAAAGATCCAACCAAAGGGGCAGCACCTCACAACTACAAGCCAATTACCTGCTTTCCAAAAACTTGCAAATTGTTAACTGGTGCAGTAACTGATGTAGTCCAACAGCATCTACAGTTGAAAACAAACTCATTCCATCTGCACAGAAACTGCCCAAACAGCAAGGGGACAAAGAATCAGCTATTAAGGCTATCAAACTTCATGAACATTTGCCAGGCTATCCCGCCTCCTTTATATGGACGATCTGAAGCTATATGGAACTGCACCATCTGGAATTGAATCACTGCTCAACGCTATTCAAATACACAACCAAGATATTTCAATGCAGTTTGGACTGGCCAAAAATGCCACACTTGCCACACACAGGGGGAAAATAGTGAAAACTGAAAGAATCAAGATGCCCTATGGAAATAATATCAAGAGTCGGGATGAAGAGCAATACAACTAACTGGACAACCTTCAGGCTGACATCACCAAGCACACACTGAAGTTAAGGAGGTTAGCAGTGAATACATCAGATGAGTGAAGAAAATCTCAGAAGTCTAAACCCAGTGAAGGAAATACCATCAAGGTAATTAACATCTGGGCAATTCCAGTCATGAGATACACAGCTGGAATAGTGGAAATGGACCTGAAGTAGAAACCCTGGATAGGATCAGAAAAATAATGACAATGAATCATGTCCTTCAACCATGCAGCAACATTGACAGACGGTACTTACCAAGGGCAATAATGTTGAAAGTACACCAGACAGTTGAAGAACAACAAAAAAGCACTGGAAAGAATAGAATAGAATAGAATAGAATAGAATAGAATAGAATAGAATAGAATAGAATAGAATAGAATAGAATAGAATAGAATAGAATAGAATTTTTTATTGGTCGAGTGTGATTGGACACAGAAGGAATTTGTCTTGGTGCATACGCTCTCAATGTACATAAAAGAAAAGATATGTTCATCAAGAATCATAAGGTACAACACTTAATGATAGTCATAGGGTACAAATAAGCAATCAAATCATATTAGGAGACAGTCAATATAAATCGTAAGGATACCAGCAACAAAGTTACAGTCATACAGTCATAAGTGGAAGGAGATAGGAACGATAAGATGATTAATAGTAGTGCAGACTAATAGTAGTGAAGGACAGTGAAGAAGATGTACTGAACATTACTGACTACCAAAGTCATCAAACTGGCCTACAAAAAAGACCAAATGAAGAAAAAGAGACATGGAGTGGCAAAATATTACACAGCCAGTACATAAAAAATTAGTAGGCAAAGAATATAATAACAATACTTAGCAATGGCTAAAAGTAGGAAAACTGAAAAAAAGAACCAGAGGGGCTATTTCTAGCTACACAAGACCAAGACTTATGAACTAATGATAGACAGCCAGAATTGAGAAGACCGTTAACAAGCAGCAAATGCCACCTCTGCAAAGAACCTGAAGGAACAGTGGGCCACCTACTTAGCTGGTACAGGAAGATCACACAGATTAATTATAAACAAGGCCATGACAAAGTAGCAACAATGGTACATTGGAATATGTGCAAGAAATACCACTTGCCTGCAAGCAAAAACTGGCAGGACTACAACACAGACCAAGAAATAGAAAATGAAGACACTAAAGTGTCCTGGGACTTTAGAATTCAAACAGACAAGCATCGGCCACGCAACACCTCAAACTTAACAACTGTTGATAAGAAAGAAAAAAAACTTGGACAGCGCACACTGCAATACTGGAAACAGCAGACTAGAAGAGAAAAAAACTGGAGAAAATCCAAAAATATAAAGACCTGTAAATTGAAGTAGTACAATGTTGGCAAAGGAAACCAAAGGTAGTACCAATAGGAATAGGTGTCTTGGGTAAAATTCCTGGAGTAATTCAACCTCAACACCATCAGCATGGACAAAACCACCATCACTCTGGTTCCTGTGCTTGTTTGTTTTTTTATTGTTCTAAATGTTGCTTTATCTTCGGATTGTAAGCCACCCAGAGTTTGGCATTAAGATGGGTGACTATACAAATGTTTTGAAGGAATGAATAAAAATAGATGCCAGATGTAGGCCCAACCAGCCAAGACAGACTGTGATAAGCGAGCAGCCCAACACGCACGATCTGGTTTTAGAACAGCTTCTCTCCAAGAAAGGAGGGGGAGGGGGCAAGGAGAGGCTTTTTGGTGGTCCTGTGGACTCATGAAAAGGCTAAGAGTAAAAAACAGGCAGAATGAATCCTGTTGCTCCTCAATAATTATTCTGAAGAGGCCTGACACTTTTCTTTGCAACAAAAAGAGATTGGCACAGAGCAGAGAAGACGTGTCCAGTGTAACAGCTGGTGTCAAGAGGGAAAAGTTTGCATCTTTGGCCAGAAACACAGCAAAGAAATGGGATTCATAGCTAGCACTTCCCTTTTCTTCCATCCCAAGTGCATAATCCGGAAGATCCTCTTTGAATGCAACTGCTGCATTCAACACTGCATTCAGGCTGATTTACATGCCACAGGCATTGTTAGCAACCTTCTTAACGGGTCTCTCCAAGCCAAAAGCAGCTGCTAATTAAACCCAAGAGTTGGGCAGGCAGCTTCCCAAGTGGACATAGGGATTTTAAAGACGCAATTTCCTGATTCACTTGGGTTATGAACGGCAGCTATTATGGTAGGAAGGCCGCAAGAGCACAAATGGCAAACGTTGTTGTTTTTCTGAAACAAGGCTGGTGGTGAAAAAAACACTTTAGGATTTGACATCTCATTTACCCAATGCTTCTTGACAAAGGCAATTACTATAAATTGACCAGACCCAAGGCTAGGAAGGTGCTATCTGTATTCCAAGTCACCTAATCACATATATGCAATGTTAGGGTTACTACCAAGAGAAAACATTCAACATCCTGGCTGATTCAGCTCAGAAATCTGGTTTCCTGACTAAAGAAATCTTCGAAGAGCAGGAGAGAGAGAAAGGGGGAGGGGGGAAAGAGAGGTGGGAGGGAGAGGGAGGGAGAGAGAGAGAGATGTGGTGTTCTAGTCTGCCACCTTGTGGCTTAATGGCCAAACTTCCAGTGTTATTTCATGCAAAGAATTGCAATTATCAGAACAGCAAGAGGGAACATGGGAGGGTGGTTTGATTGCAGATGTCTTCCAGGTAAGGTTACATGAGGAGTTACCATCTGCTCTCTTCCCCTACCGGGACAATGTGGCATGCAACAGTCGTGTTTTTGTCATTCTGCACAACGTAAGTGTTTGAATGGCATGAAGGGGACCACACTTCATCTAGGATTAAACTTAAGTAAGGTAATTCCATTCACTTTTAATTTTTAATAATTTTAAGTTTCTAACGTTTCCCAATGTATCATACCAAAAAAGATTCCAATAGTAGCTTCCTAAGGCTTTTGTGCCTACACCCAAGGTTTTCAGACTACATGGAAATACAGAACTCCAGAAAAAATAACTACAGGCAGTCCTCAACTTATGACCTCAATCGAGACTGAATCTTCTGTCACTAAGCACGGCAGTCAAATGAGCACCCATTTTATGATTTTTTTTTTTTGCTATACAGGTAGTCCTCGACTTACAACAGTTCATTTAGTGACCATTCGAAGTTACAACAGCACTGAAAAAAGTGACATGACTGTTTTCCACACTTACAACCTTTACAGCATCGCCATGGTAACGTGATCAAAATTCAGATGCTTGGCATCTCACTCATATTTATGACGGTTTCAATATCCCAGGGTCATGCAATCCCCTTTTGCGACCTCCTGACAAGCAAAGTCAATGAGGAATCCAGATTCACTTAACAATCAGTTTATTAACAAATGCAATAATTCATTTAACAACTGTGGCAAGAAAAGTTGTAGAATGGAGCAAAACTCATTTAATAAATTTCTCACTTAGCAACATAAATTTTGAGCTCGATTGTGGTTGTAAGTTGAGAACTACCTGTAGTTGTTCGACAAATCACCACGGTCACTAAACGAATCATGCAGTCATTAAGAGAAACCGTCTTCCCCCATTAACTTTGACAGAAGTTGTCTGGGAAGGTCACACCCACATGATTCTGAGAAACTCCAATTGTAAATACATGTCAGATGCCAACTGCCTACATGACCATGGAGATGCTGCAACAGTCTTTAAGTGCAGGGTGGCAAATACTTTTTAAATGCCACTGTAATTTCAAGAGTTACTAAAAAAATAATAAATCAAGGGCTACCTATATGAATCCATTTGCCTCCAGTTTATTTTTCATGCAATCTAAATATGCACCAATACCGGAAATTCATCTGAACTAAAAAAAGTACAATTCTAGGACAATGCATTATTGTAATACTTAAAAAAAAAAAAAAAGAACGATAAAGGGAGATAGCATAATATTAAAATTAAAAGTTATAGGAAAGTCTTCCCATAATTCTAAAACTCTGTAGAGATTCTCAGTCATCCAGGTCATGGTTGTCCCAAAGGTGCTTTTTCAGGAGGCTACTGGACTTTCTTCCTTTTTTTTTTTTTTTTTGAAGACGTTTCACTTCTCATCTGAGAAGCTTCTTCAGCTCCAATGTCCTGTCAGAGCTGAAGAAGCTTCTTGGATGAGAAGTGAACCGTCTTCAAAAAAAAAAAAAAAGCAAGAAAGTCCAGTAGCCTCCTGAAAAAGCACCTTTGGGTCTTGGCAGCAAGTTTCCATACTACCAGAATGGCTCTGGTAACAGAATGTACTATTTGAAGCAGGCTTTGTTTACTCTATTTTGTTTTATCTGGAAGAGTTCCAAGCCTGACCACTAAGCAGATGGTCATAAACTGAGGACTACCTATACAATAAATTTAAAGGCAAAGACACTTAAGTATATATAATCTGATTTACTCTGTAATAATTCTCATTTATATCCCTTTTTTTTTATAAATAACTCAAGGCAGTGAATATACACAATACCCCTTCCTACTCTTAATTTTCCCCATAATAACCACCCTGTGAGGTGAGGTGAGCTGGACTGAGAGTGACTGGTCCAAGGCCACCCAATCAGCCCCAGAATATGCAATACATACATTTTTTAAAAAAAACACCTATCACATAATGTCCCATGAAACTGCAAATTTAACTCAGCAGAATGAAGTAGGCCAATAGCCTTCCAAGGCGACTCTGACATCAGCCTTACATAAGGGCAAGCAATCTTTTTGCTATCATGGATATTGTTGCATTCTTTTAGTATTGTTTTTCAAACCCAAGGTAACATTCCATGCGGGGGAGGGGGGAAAACAGTTTTAGAAAAGATAGCACACTTCCACCCATTTGTTCCCTGAATCTTGTGTGTTTTAAATGCTTGGAAACATGCCTAGAATGAATCAGTTCTGAGTATGAACCGAACCGGAGTTGGTTTTGGCAGAAATTATTTGGGGAAGTAAGAATAGGAATAGGAAAACCGTAAGACAGCAGCTGAAGGGAAGAAGAGAGTGAAGATAGTGGGAAGAGCAGGTGAATCAGGGGGCAGTTGGGGGGGGGGGTATGCTTGGCAGCTGGGAGCCTGTTCCAGACACTGGAGATCAATGCAATAAAGAACAGGTGCAAAGGCCATATACCAGGGGTGTCAAACTCCGCAATGACACATTGTCATCATGTGATGTATCACAACTTTTTTCCCCTTTGCTAAACTTGGATTGGGCCTGGCCAGCACAATGCATTCAGCCCGCAAGTTTGACACCCTTGCCATATATGGACAGCAGCCGAGAGAATAGAAAGGCTGGGAACACTGCAGGGGGGAGGGGGGGCTGTTGCTAGCGGGAAGCAACATGCTAATGGGAAGAAGAGAATACAGACACTGCAAAGATGGGGAGCATGGGTCAGGACAATGGGCCATGCTAAGAGAACAATGCAATGCAGTTAAGGTGGAACATGAGGAGGATATACTGTCCTGGAAACTAACTGAGCGAAGGAGAGAAAGGGGGGTGTGTGATGCTCATTAGCCTTGACCTACTTGCCCTTAAAATTCCTCTAGGACCATCTAGATTTTGTTTCATCCAAAACATGGAACCGCCCCATTTTGAGTTCTGTTTCTGCCGCATGATGACCAATCCCAAATGGTTCAGAAAAACTGCCAAAGTGCAATGGTTTGCTTGTCGTTTGAAAGAAAACATGTTTCCCATTTGTGCATACTCCGAAGACCATATGCCTTTCCCACGAACCTCTTTCTACCCTCTGGAAGAACAAGGATTCCAAATAAAGTTTCTTTGGCAGCCTTCACGAATGGCCAAGTCATCTGAGATTGATAGGATTTATAGCATCTGCAGGACTGACCCTACTAACAAAAAGACGATTTTAGGAATGATACCAATAGCAATAGCTGTCAAGTGTCAAATAACCCTCGACACCACACACACGGCTCCAGAGGGGCTGAGAATAGCACTTAGACCTATATACTGCTTTACAGTGCTTTTATAGCCCTCTCTAAGTGGTTTACAGAATCGGCATATTGCCCCCAACAATTTGGGTCCTCATTTTACCCACCTCAGAAGGATGGAAGGCTGAGTCAACCTTGAGCCTGGTGAGATTTGAATTGCCAAATTGCAGGCAACCGGCAGTTAGCAGAAGTAGACTGCAGTACTGTACTCTAACCACTGTGCTACCTAGATAACTAGATGTATTGCAATGTTAATGGCAGCATGTTTTATAGACACGTATTTCCAATTCTCCTCCAATTCCTTCCTGCTAAAAGCATTGCTACAGCCAAATAATCCAGTTTCTTCAATCTTGTTTAATTTAATGTGTTGGACATTAGCAACCACTAGCTAGTATGCTGGCTAGATAATGATGGCCCCAAATATCTGAGAACTGCAAGGATGTGAAATGAATTAATTTCAACAGTGCTCCCTTTTGGTACTCACAAGGCCATCAATAAAGAAAATCCAGCAATGTACAGGTTTCTCTGGGCCCGGAAGAGCTTCATATGAAAATGCTCCACAGCCCCAGGATTGTTCTGCAGGTTCACTTTCTCTGTCACATCATCGTATTTCCGGATCTCACGAATGGCATCTGCAAGTCATTGAGAAACAATCAAAGCTCTGAATGCATAAAATTCATTTACAAATTCCAGCCAATTTGCAGAAACATAGCCCAATATCCCTCGTGGCTTTATATGTGTGATTATTTATTATTAAGAACATCTCAGACAAATACTCAATATAAATACCACAAAATAGGATACCCAACAGAGCCAGTTCACCAGCAGAGCAGATTTACCTCAAACATGTTCCTAAGTTATTAGTGGGGATCCCACAAACACCATCCAATAGAACTGAGCTGCAGAGGTCTGCTGATGCTAAACTACTATCATTTACTCCAAAATATTTGCTCCTAGGCCCAAGAAATTAATCTCAGTAGCGAGGCAAACTAGTTGTACTTATTGCCACATTTTATTATTCTTTGACTGTAAATCAGAGTTAAGAACAAAATTATAGTATTTCTAATTGCTGTGAGTTTTCTGAATTGAGACAGAACCTCACGGCCTTCCTGCAGAGATTACCTCACACCACTCTGCAAGCGGGCACCATTCTCGCAATCCTTAAAGGGGAGCCTCCTTAAAGGATTGCAAGAAAAACATCTGCTTTCAGAATGTTGCATAGCAGCCTCTGGAGAAGGCCAACCTCACACTGGCTGGGTGCATCTGTCAAAAGATGCAAAAAACAGAACTGTTGCATACTCTAGGCCCTGGAGCCATCCAAGGCCTCCCACACATGACTGAGTAAGAAGTAGGCTAAAGGGTCCAGGGTCGTACCAGCTTCACAAACGCCAGTAAGCTCTGGAACTGGCTAGCACATAGCAGTTTCCACATGCCAGCGGCTCTGACTCTTCCTTGCCCTCCAAGGAAACTCGCCACTATTTAACAACTGCAGTTGCATGCTCCAGGATTGCAGTTGTTGAATGGAATACCGTGTTTCCCTGAAAATAAGACCCTAGCTTATATTTTTTTGAACCTGAAATAAGCGCTTGGCCTTATTGCCATGCGCTCAAAAGCCCGATTGGGCTTATTATCAGGGGTTATTTTGGGGAAAACAGGATAGTCATATGACATCTCACTTAATGACTTCACTCAGTGACTGAGATTCCAGGTGTAAATGTGGTCTTAAGTCAAGTATTACCTGTACTGCAGCAAGTTATTATCCTTGTGAATTTTTGAAGGAAGTTTAAAGTCTATTATCAATCTTTGTTGTGTTTCGGCATAATCTTAGGGTTCTGTTTAGTACAGAGCAACACACTGGCCATTGCGCTTTGTTCTTTCACTTTCAACAAGAGATTCCTTAAAGTTTTCCTCATTTCTAATGTTCTGAGCAGCAGCATATCTGAGGCGGTGATTGTTTCCCCCAGCAATCTTATTTCTATTTCTTCTAGATTTTCTCATGTTGATTTTGCATGTAATTAAATCAACTGACAGTAATCAAGCTTGGAACACTCCTTTTCCAATTCTGAACTGTTTAACTGATCTGTATTTCATTCTAATTGATGTTTCCTAGTCGTGAAATAAATTCTTCAATAGGCAAATGGGATGACTTAATACCGGTAGTCCTCGACTTACAATTCATTTCATGACCGTTTATAAAGTTACAACGGCACTGAAAAAAGTGATTTATGATCGTTTTTCACACTTACGACCTTTGTAGCATCCCCATGATCACATGATCAAAATTCAGATGCTTGACAATTAATTCATACTTATGACTGTTATGTTCACATACCCAAGGTCATGTGATCATCGTTTGCAACCTTTTGATAAGCAAAATCAAAGGGGAAGCCAGATTCACTTAACAACATTATTATTAATTTATCAACTGCGGTGATTCACTTAACAAGAGGCAAGAGGTCGTAAAATGGGGCAAAACTCACTTAACAAATGTCTCACTTAACAACAGAAATTCTGGACTCAATTGTAGTAAGTCAAGAACTACCTGTATATCTGAGGAACCATCTCACCCCAATGGGACTAGCCCACCCCATTCAAGACAGCAGAAGAGGCCTACTACGGATCCGTCTGCTAAGGAATTCCAGTGGGCAGGACCAAAGAAAAAGCCTTTTCCGCGGTGGTCCTGTGCCTGTGGAACACTCTACCATTGGGTTTGCTGTTTGACTTGGGGCCCCGTGTGTGTGTGTGCTCACTACAAGAGGTGGTTGATGGAGTAAGAATCCCTCATCCCTGTGCCATCCATCTCTTAATCTTGGTTTTTTGCATAGTTTTAATATTTTAATTATTTTTCTACTTGTCTTGTTATAATTTGTTAAGAATAGCCTTATAGGGGAGATAGGAAACATAACAAATTAATAAAAAATAAAAATAAATTACTCATGTTTTTAAGAATTAGCTCTCCATAATCAAAGCCACAAGCAAACATAAATAAATCTCTTTGGTTTTTCATTCTCCAGTGGATATCAGCTACGTGATGTCTGGTGCTTTGCCATTTCTGAATTCACCTCGTACATCTTGGTACTTGCTGCATGTACTATTGAAATACAAACTGCAAAATCTTCAGCATTATTTCAGTTGTGAGAGAATTGCAATTGTTCAAGAGTTTGAGCTACTTCCTGCACAAATTATTTTATAAGATTTAAACTATAATATTAAATATTTAAACTATAAACTATAATTATTTTGCTGGCATTTAATCAATTGAGAGCAACTTTTTAACTTCATTTCCCAGACTGCCTAGTTCTAATTCAGTGATCTTAATATGCATCATTGATTTGGGCCATTTTTCTACATTTTTTTCATGTATCTATACTGTCTTTCTCTAGTCTAGTAGATCTTTGGCCTTTTCTTGTCTTTTCTCAGCCCATCTTTGCATAAACAGTCCTTTGATTTATGTAACATGCTTAAATAATTCTTTTGTTCTTCCCATTCAATTGTTATCCTCAATTCATTGATGTTTATTTAGATGTAATTTTTGGTCTTTTTCTCTGCAACTCAGCAGTTGGGCAAATTCTCCTCAGTTATCTATTGCCCTTTGTTTCCTTTCTACAGCTGTTCCCAACTTATCATCACAGTCTACGGGTCTTATTTTGATTTTCGCATGTGGCATATTTTTGTTTCATTGTTAAGAGCATCACACATTTCAATCTTCTGTAGGAGAGCTCTTCAACTGCCACATCATCTGCATCTGTGATTGGAGCACAGAGGCCGCTGTTATTGGCTGGTTTGCCTTGGGTTCATTTGAGATCATTTTCTAACGTAGGGGGTACCTGAGCACCGGCTGTGATCCTCTTTTGCTAAACATTGGTGGCTATTCCATTTCTTTTGTGCTTTTCTCATCCACAGCAGAAGATGCAAAGCTTTACTGGTGTGAAGGCAGGCGTTTCAGTCCATTCGTTTTGCTGATTCCCAAAACTAGTGTTCAGTTTCACATTTCTGCTCTGCAAACATCAAATTGGCCTTGGTTCATGAATCTGACATTCCATATACCAATGATACATGGGATTTTGGAGCATCAAACTTTCCTTTTGCTTCTGGATAGATCAGTAGCTTAACATTTTTTCAATCCAGCATCAATATTAGTCATGCTTGCCCTCTGTTCTTCCTCAGTAGCTGGTTGGACACCTTCTATCCAGTGGTGGGCTGCTGCTGGTTGTAACAACCAGTTCGCCCGTAATTGAAAATGTGAGCGTGCGCAGCATCAAAAACACGGCGATTATATAGGATGTGATAGTGCCAGGGGCTAGCTATTGGTCGGAACTACTGGTTCACTCAAACCGGCAGCAGCCCACCACTGCTTCTATCCTGGGGGCTTATCTCCCAGCTTGTGTTGACTTATGATCACCCATTTGGCTCTCTTGGCAGAAATCTGGGGCTAGATACTTCCTTCCCCCATTCCTTTTTTTTTAAATTTTCCATAAATATATGCTAGCTGCCAACTGCCTGAATTTTGATCACGTGACCTTGGGGATGCTGCAATGATGACAAGTGTGGACCACTGGTCATAAGTCACTTTTTTCATTGCCAGTGAACGATCACTAAATGAATGGTCGTAAGTCAAAGATTACCTGTATGCACATAGGCACACCTTTATGAATAAGTGATATTAATAATACTGTCAGCAGCAAGGACCAGTTGCAACTTCAAGGACCAGTTGCACAGACTTCTACTTACCAAGAAACAACAAAACAAGGATGATTATAAGTACGACAAAGAAAGTGTTTCCGTAAATCACAAGGAGCTGCACCAAACGGGACTTGAAGATTTTCTGCCACCTGTAGAAAAATATCCAACATTAAATGGGGGGGGGGGGAAATGCACCCATCGGACTGCATTGCATGTTACAACATGGCTTAGCAAATGTTTTAGATATTGGCTGCTGCCTCCCAAATAACTTTTAAAAATGACTGAAACCTCATGATTATGACAATTATACTGCCAAGGAAAAAAGAGCAAAGGAGCAAAGGCATAACATGTGACCCATGCCTGATATATGTCAATTCATCACTTCTGACTCTGGTTGTTAAGCAGGACGTCACATGCTTACCATTTGCAACGTTCTGCCAGCTTCTCCATTGATTTCACTTTTTGGAAGATGGGCGTGAAGGACCCAAAGGGCCATCGTGCGACCACAGAATACTATGGCCACCATGAATGCATGCCAACTGCCAAGCACCCAAATTGCAATGTGACCATGGGGACGTTGTGACAGCCATAGCTTCAAGGACCAGTTGTCTCTCTTTTTAGTGCAGTTATGACTTTGACCATCACTGAACAAATGGTTGGTAAGTGAGGACTACTTGCACTATGCATTCTTTTAAACTTGTAAGCCACTCATAGTCTTTTCTGAGTAAATACTTAGTCCTCGACTTACAACCCGTCATTTAGTGACTGTTCACAGAGTCACAACAGATCCCAAAAAAAGTATCTACAACCCAGATTTGAAGTTCCAACCATCTCCCCATGGTCATGAGACCGTATTTTGGGTGCTTGGCAACCAGCATAGATTTACGGCTATTTGCAGCACCCTGTGGTCACATGACCACAATCTATAGTTTTGCTGGACACTGGTGTGTATTTCTGGTTTCCACCCAAAAAAAAATCTCCCAGCAACAAGGGTTTGCTTAATACTTGCTGCAAAAAAGATGATAAAATCAGGCATGATTATGTGATGATCTACTTAATGACCATCATAGTTTACAACCATAATTGTGGGATAATTATGATCTTTCTTAGAAGACTGCCTGTAGCCTCAAAACCTAAGTAGCTAATTAATACAAACTTGAGCAACTCTTTACATTTAACACACAAGCATGTACAGGCCAATTATCCCAGCCTCCTTCTGATTCTTGGCATTGGTTAAAAATATATTTTCCTGCCTGCTTTCAGCTATTAATTACTCTTACCCATCATCCCAAGATCCTTTTTCGGTATCCTCCCTCTGAAATCCTCTGGAAACCAAGCTGAGTCTTGACCTACATTTTTGCATTTCTCGGCAGCCTAACCCATCATGGTTTCAGGGACCCATCCCACACTCACCCTCCTAGCTCCTCACCTTGTTGCTGAGATAAAGGGAATGCAGAGGAGAAACACAAGAAGGACTTCTGCATAGAGAAATGTGGCCACAGCTGCCCACTGGAGACTCATCATGGAAGTATGGGAAGGAAACGGCTCCAAGAAGAGCTGAGATTCACCACAAAACAGAACTTTGAGCTGAAAGGAAGGGAGGGGGAAAGGCTATTAGAATACTAAATGTACAATGTGCATATACCACGTTGCTCAGTTTCTGTCTGGGTGTTTTATCCTTGGGGAGGACAAGCTTCTGCCTTAGTGTATTCTTGGGTTTGAAGTGTGCACTTATGTTATGTTGGTTGAAACTCCTCATGAGGTATATGCAGTACAATGCAGTGAGCCATGTGCAGATCTGTACATTGGGGAAACAAAACAACCACTTCATAAACGCATGGCACAACATAGGAGAACAAACACATCAGGACTAGATTCAGCAGTCCATCTGCATTTAAAAGACACAGGCCACTCTTTTGAAGACAACAAAGTTCATACTTTGGACAGAGAGGATCGCTGGTTTGAAAAAGGGATTAAAGAGGTCTTCTATGTCAAAATTGAACACCCACCATCTTTCTCAACAGAGGGGGAGGGATACAACATCATCTATCTCCAATCTACAACACAGTCCTTTCAACGGTTCCAAGGCGGCTCCACACCAATTTGCTCCACTCAGGTGACCCTGATGACACAGAAAAACCTCCAGGTGACCTTAACGACCCACTAAAAGAATGCAAATGACGAGCTGTCTGCAAAGAATATAAATCCTTCCATTCCCCACCATCCAGTCAGAGTTGAAGAAGCTTCTTGGATGAGAAGTGAAATGTCTTCAAAGAAAAAGCAGAAAGTCTAGTTGCCTCTTTGGGACAGTCTGATGACTGCTCAGATAGTCCTCTCAGATCAAAGGTAGAAGATGCAAATGCTGTTCCCAGTAATGGCCACTCCCCCCCCATCTCCTCTTTTCAGTAACAAAGTTCTCCAGGTATCTCTGTGAAGATCAATCTGTCAGATCAAGTTCTCTCTATAAACCACATGTGACAACGCCTGCCTAACTCTCACCAGGTGGATTCAAATAAGCGTTGCAGAGTGTTACACAGCTTCAGTGCTCCCACACCCGATACATTCGTTGCTGCTACTGATGAAATTAAGAAGTTAAAAAACTCCCAGATGCTGAACTACAACTCCCAGCAACCCCTGTAAGCGCTACCAATGAAAAGGAATCCTGGGAGATATAGTTCAGCACTATAGGAGAACTGGTTTGCAGTTCCTAAATTATAGTAATTTCTCTGCCGTTTTCCTACAGGTTTAAAATAATTATCAAGAATTAAAAGAATACCAATTTAAGAGATAAAAGAGGTAGCAGAATGCATGCAAAACAAGTTATAAAATCAAAAAATAAACCCCCAGGAAAAAGAAATCTTGTGCCTCAGGTTATGAAAATAACCTGAGGAAATCATTTCTTTTGATCCAAGAGAAAATTGTACACATAGCCTCCTTAAGGTATAACGGCACTTGGCAACCAGTCTGCATTTATTTATTTATTAGTCCAATTTATATGCCGCCCTTCTCCATAGACTCAGGGCGGCTTACAATGCATTATAGCAATAGCCTGCATACTTTTATGTATTATACCTGCTTATTAGGGCTTTCGCCCCCCCAAGCGGTGTTGTTCTATATAAAGCTGGCTTATTGCCCCCACAATCCGGGTCCTCAATTTACCTACCTCGAAAGGATGGAAGGCTGAGTCAACCTTGAACCTGGTGAGATTTGAACTCACACTAATTGCAGGCAGCTGGCAGCTAAGTCCTAGCACTTAACAGCACTTAGTCCGCTGCACCACCGAGGCATTTGAAGTTGTTTGAATTATTCCATGGTCACATGATCACCATTTTTTTGCCAAAAACTTCAGGGTTGCAACAAAAATGCCCCATGGCAAATAATGGGTTCCACAAAAAAGGTTATAAAATCAGATCTGGTAACAAGATGACCCCCTTTACAACTCTTACTATTTGCAACTAAAAGGGGCAGGCTCCACTACAGTCATAAATTGAGGACTACTTGAATAGGATAAGAGTGAGATTTGTGCTTTAAAATTGCTGCTATCCTTCAAGAATTAGGAAAGCAAAAACAGTGCTACTTCTCAGATGGCAAGAATAATTTTTCTACAGTCAGAATACAAGCTTGAATCGGAAGCGGTTACCCCATACTTTGTGGCTTGATGTAGGCATAAGTCATCATTTGCTTACAATAAATGAATGAAATGGTAGTTTACTTGTATTTCACTAAAAGTAAAGTGTTAACCAGTCACTTTTTTTAAAATAAAGGAAGGCATCCAGAAAGCAGGAAAATAAGGAGGTGGGGGGAAGGGCGGCGAGCAAGAAGAGAGAATGTAGTTGCCAGATCTAAAGGTGCTTTTTCAAAAGTTCAGTTGCCTTTTGAAAAAGCACCTTTGGGACAACCATGACCTGCATGTCTGAGAATCTCCACAAACATATAGTTGCCAGACTATACAGGTCAGAAAGAGGTAAAAAGACGACAGTTCGTGTAAAAAAAAAGGAAAAAAGTCACAAATAGCCCTTATAATTAAGCCCTCATAGAGGATTTATCATTCGTTACATAATGGCCAGTATAGTAAACATAATCAGTTTCAAAGCAAGCATTCATCAAAAGGCTAGCCACTACCTTTTCTACCTCCCCTCCTGCAGGGACTCCCATCTACCCTAATAGTTTCCTTTTTATCTGTTAAGAGTGGGAGAATTCAAAGAAGAATTGAACTCATTCAACTTTGTCATTTTTGAAGAAAACCTAGAAGGCCCACATAAAGCCCCAAAGCATTCTGGGGATGGTAGTGAGAATGATACTAGAGGCTTTATACACTCCTCTATAGTATTTTAGCTTCCCGTTAAATTATCTTTTAAATATAAACAAAGATTGGAAATTGGATAGGTACCAAGGAAGCTATCTGCAGATTTTCTGTACACTTGTATACTACAACAGAGTCTCAGAATGACCATCTTTTCTATTTGTGCTGGTGTGTTAGATTCTATCTTCCATGAGTTGAGCACCTTAGGAAGGTGAATAACCCATAATCACAAATATTGAAACACAAAATATACTAAAGAAAAAGAAAGTAGGAGAAGGAAGACCTCACTGAGAGAACTATATTGTAAAAAATTCAATGCAGAGTCATATATTTGTCCCACAAAACTTATATGCACAAATTCGCTTTCTATTTGTGGATTTAGTAGAAATGTTAATCATGCATCTAAGGACCCTTTCTTACTGACCTCATCAAGAGAAAGCTATCCACACAAAAGTAGCAACTTTACAAAAAGAATATATGATTATATGCTATCTTTGTACAGGCTAATGATATTCCTTTTATTCATTTCACAGCTTGGTTTGAAATGAAAATTTATATGGCTGCTGAATTAATTACCAAGTCATCTTATTTGGACTTCTGAGTTTGAAACACAAATGCAAGTAGTCCTTGCCTTACAACCAGTCATTTAACAACCCTTCAAAATTATAAGTCTGGAATAGGTGCTTTATAGCCCATAAAGCATGTGTGGCTGTTATATTATGCCCCCCACCCCCAAACACATTACTGTATTTCAACGGCTTGGCAACCAGCTTGACTTTACAACCGGTTGTAGCATCCCATAGCCTTGTGACCATGATTTGCAGTGTTTTTTGCTGGTTTCTGGTAAAAAACACACATTTGGAGTAATGGGTTTGCACTTATGACCATGTATTTGCTTAATTACGGCAGTGCTTTGCCTAACAATCATTGTAAAAATGTTGTAAAATTTTGTCCAGTCATGTAGGTGCCTTACAACCAGAATGACTTAGGACCCGAAATCTGGTCCAACTGCAGTCATATGTCGAGGGTTACACCTGTGTGTCTGTGTTTGTGGGCATGTATTTAAGCTAGGTTGTAGAAATCAGCTGAATGGCAGCTCTCCTACATTTACTATAGAGCAGGGGTATCAAACTCAAGGGTGCTTAGATCTGGCTTGCGGGACCACACTGGAAATAGTGAAGGACCGGTCTGCAGTGCCTCTGCCAGCAAAAATGGAGCTCAGGAGGGCCATGCGCAGCCCTCTTTCAGCAAAAATGGAGCTCAGGGGGATGGCCAAGGAGGCCAAAAATGGAGCCCGGGAGGATGCATGCGGTCCCTCCAAGCTCCATTTTTCCTGGCAGAGGGGTGGAGGAAGCTGTCGCGGCCAAAAATGGAGCTTGGGGGCCCATTTTCGCTGGCAGAGGGTGCAGGCCATAGGCGCCCCTGACATGAGTGATATCACACTGGCCACGCCCCCCACCCCCGGGGTCAAACACAACCCTGATGCAACCCGCAATGAAATCGAGTTTGACACCCCTGCTATAGAGCATGAATGCAACAAGCTCACCCGCATCCATTTTTTGATCCTCATGCCATCCCAAGTAAACAAGAGTTTGGGTTTTTTGGAGTTTGGGGATAGGCCTTAGGGCAAAATGGATAATGAGGCTTAAGATTTCATCCATTAGGTCCCCTAAAAGTTCCCTTTGGACTGCAGCTCTTAAAAGAGCATGTCCATAAAACTAAAACAAAAAAGAAAAAAACCTTTCAAGTACTAAATTATGCAGTCTCCAAGAAAGATCTGCAAATTGAGCAAGCAGAAAGGGAGATTAAAAGAGCACATGTCTGCCAGGGACAGCTGAAGCATTGCAACACTTGCACAATTCCACTGAAACATTTGGTGCATCAACTGAGAGGGGGAAAAAAAAGAGGAAGAAATTTAAATCAGCATGTATTCCAGGCTGGGAGGCATATTGTTCTTTCTCTGCACTGCCCACCTACTTTAAAGAAAACAGGAGACCTATTTTTCTTTAAAAAGCTGAGACAATTTGACAAAATAAATTCCACCTCTCACCCCCCACCCCCCCCCCCCCAGACTGGAAGCCAACTCTTGTTAAAAGTTATGTGCTAGCCCAAACTTCCCATATAAAATGAGGAAAGCTGAATGCAAACCTCAGGAATTGGCATATGAAATACCTACTTAATTCGATGGCATATGAAATACCTACTTAATTCGATTCCCTAGGATTTTAATATTATGCCAGCGAGGAGTTCGCTTTCTCAAGAGCCCCATGACTGACAGCCAGGAGAACAAGTCAGACTACTACCACCTTTTTGGAATTCTCTTTGGAGACGGGGGAGATTGTAAGGCTTACAGGACAGGCCTATGCCTGTTAACACACTCCTTCGCAAATACGCACCCGCTCCGGCTCCATAGGGCCTCCTCAACGCATCTCACACCCACCCACCCACCCTCTCGTTCGCGCAGCCTCCTCCAGATTAATGGCCCCTTGCAATATTCGCCCAGCCTACCCCACCCACCCCCGTTCCTAAAATTTGCACTCAGGAAGGATGGGGGGGGGGAAGGTAGGCTGCTTCCAGGATGAAAAAAGGAGGTGGAGAAAGCAGATTGCAGGTAAAGCAGAATTGCATTCAGGTGTGTTACGGGAAGACGCCGCAGAAACGTGGGGATTTAAAATTAGGGGTGCTTCGACTACTCCTTGCAGGAGAGGCGTCCCGTCTTCCCCCATTCTTTCGAAAGACGGGGAAGAAGAAAGGCATTTAAAAGCGGGAGCGCCTTCTTTTTAACATAATTTGGCTTTCTTTCCCGAATAACCAGCCTCGCTGTCCCTATTCCTTTCCCGCCCCCCACTCCCCAGTTCTGCGGGAGGGACCCCGATACGTACCAACCAAGCCCCACAAACAGCTCGCGCTCGACCGCAGGCAGAAATAGAGAACGCTCGAAACCACGCCCCCCGCTTTCGTTGGGCGTGGCCTGGGTGCGCTCTCCGCCCAATCGCGAAGCAGGTTTTCTAAATAGAGACGAAGGGTGGGGGAGGGTAAAGGCCGAAGTTGCTCCGTCAGGGTCGCAGGCGTGGCTGCGTGTCGCAGTTTTCGACGTGTCTGTTTTTTAAAAAATCGGGGGGAGGGAAAAGGAGGGGCGCTTCATAGGAAGTATGGGAGAGGTGAAGGAAGTAGCTGGGCTATGAAATGCGTCGGACTACAGTTCCCATGATCTCTAGCGAGGATGGCTCACGGTCCCGCCCTCATGGGGTTTAAAGCAGAGGTCTCCAACCTTGGCAACTTTACGGCTTGTGGACTTCAATTCCCAGAGTTCCTCAGCCAGCGGAGGTTCCTGAGCTTTGCTGGCTGAGGAATTCTGGGAGTTGAAGTCCACAAGTCGTAAAGTGGGCAAGGTTGGAGAGCCCTGGTTTAAAGGAATTGCTAGCGTGCGGAAGCTCTAATGGCTTGGTCGCTTTGCTCTTGTTTTTCTTCAAAAGGGCTGAGCGAATTCCCTATTTTCCTTTTTCCAGACAAAAGTATCCTTTTCGCTCACTCACTATTATTTTTTTTTTTTATTGTTTAGGATCCTCCTTCCTTGCCTTTTATTCATTGCTCCCGTTTCCTTTCTTAGATGCATTAAAGAGCTTTTGAAGGAACGACTTGTAGAATTGCCAATTCAAGAGCGGCGTTCGGCTACAGCTTAATAGAACAACGATGCACCCTTGAGTGTTTCCGTTCTCGTGCACATCCCGATTGGAGTTACGCAGATATAAAATGCCTGGTTCTGCTTTATGGCTTTTGCAGCACAAGGTGTGGAGCAAAAGCCATACGTCTCGTTTTAGTTGACGTTCTGAACTTCTGCATTTTTTCTCTTAACCGCTAGAAAACCACCAGATTTGACACGAACTGTTTTTTTCTGTTGTGCTCTTGACACATAGGTAGTATCCAAGCTGGAAAAGGAAGTAAATTAAGAAGAATTTATGATACTGCAGTATGTTATTTTTTCCCCATCTCTGGTTCCTGCCCCCCTGCTCAGAACCAAAATCCTGTTTGGCTCCTTTAAAGGGACTAACTGGATAATTTTCGAAAATGAGGATGGGAAAAATAATAAAATGGCACATTTTGGCAGTGGTTTGCTCTCCAAGCTTGTTTCAATTTAGTTTCTGAATGTTTAATTACCAGAAGCAGGATTTTCTTGTCCTATTCTCCTTAGTTTATAAAAAAAAACCAGCTACAAATATTTTGTTATTTCAAAATGGCACATTATTCATATATAGGCCAATAATACCTTGCATGTCTATTTCCATAATTTGGATGGGTGGGGTGGGATTACTTAATTATGCTTGAGGTCTCAGTATGATGGTTACAAGTGTCTCCTGTGTTAAACAGATGATATTCTTTTAAAGACCAAAAGGATTTTCTTTTCTGAGAAGCAATTACAGCCCCCCACCCTCACCCTGTCAAATTGGCACTGGAAGTTAAATTAAGCGGCTCTAATTTATTAATGTATTTACTAGTAGAATGCTGACAAAGAGGTCAGGTTGCTAGAGGTTGTTCAATGAAAGCGACTTCAGGTTCCTGTTTGCAGCAGATGGCAGCACTCAACATAAGTTCAGAAAGAACAGAAACAGATTCACAACGTTTTCTTCAATGGGAGGTTGGGATGAGCTGTAGAAGCCAAGTCACATGTTGAAGACCCTAATATCGGTAGGAACTATATAAGTATCTTTGGGAAGAGATGAGCACTTCTGTGTCTAGTATATAACACATGGACAATAGTGCCTCATACTCTGCCCTCTTCCATTGGCATCATAGCAACCAATTTTAGATATACAGTGGGAAAGCCCACATAGTGTTCAAGATTAGAACCGGGGAGACCTAGTTGTAGCCCACCCTCAGCCACTGGATGTTTTGGGGACTGATATTCTCTCTTAGCGTGTCCTACCTTGCAGGGTTATCCCTGTAGGGAAAAGTACAAAAAATAACTATACACCTCAGTTCTTGCAAGAAAGCTGGGTTATAAATCTAAAAGTAAAAACAGCTCCAGGAACTGCAGCTTCAGGGCAACAGTTGCTATAGCCTGCATAATCACTTAGCTTTTAGATGATGCTGTATCAAATAGTATCAGGGTAACCAAGCTTGGCAATCACTCAATTTAAAAACAGACCTGGAAAAAAACAAGCCATCTATGTATTCATAGATAAAATATTAATCAAGCTGTGATTTCTTGGCAAATCTATTGGCGAGTCTTTCTTCAAAACTATTTTGCCCTCTGGCTTTTGGTTATATAAGGATCCTAAGTATATAATAGCCTAAGTATCGATACAACTGTTTGATGAAATACATTGAGTTATGAAATCCCTTTTTTGGAGCCAGAAAAAAACCAGCAGCTGTGTTGTAAATGATATATTAAAATACAGTATCAGGAATCATTACATACTTTGAAATAACAGATTTTTCTCCTGGAATTTGTAGTGAGATGAATGAGATGGCTTCAGAGCGGTGCTGCTCATATGAGTTTTTGTGGATTGTTATTTGTTCCTCAGATTCCACAGTGATAACAATCAAAGTAGATTCTACTTTTAATCTCTTTTAATTGTTTTGAACTCTCCGATTCATTTAGACAAATTATTCCCAAAGGTTTTGGAAGTTGCCTCTTGCAAATAACTGAGTCAGCCACCAGCACTCAATCAACAACCAAAAAAACCCCATTCCTCCCACACAAGTTTCCTTTTTGTGTCCCTTCTTGTAGCTCTGATGAAGTCACACCTTCATTGTGGTTGTTCAGACGATATTTGAGTCTCGGTGTAGGGACAACAACAGTTTCTGCCTTCTGTTAACTCTTCGTGGGTTCGATGTAGTAGCTGCATTTCTCCAATCTTGCAGCGTAGTAGTGAGAGATAGAATGGAGACAACTAGCACCAACACATCCTGCTTAGCACGCCGTTTCTCTAACGCGATCCTGCAAGTCTTTAATAAATTATCTTTATTCGCAGACGCGTTACATACAAATGACCACTTGACCCAATGATACGGTATTACAACTACAGTCATCTGATAACGTAGCTCTCCATGTCAGTTTATTATTAGGGGCGGGGGGTGGAAGCCGCGATTCCAGCCCTTGCGGTAATAGCAATTCCAAAGCAAACATGTTCATTTGCAAAGCTGCTATAGCACACGTTGATTTCTTTGAAGGGATGGGCCATTTATATCCAAGGCTTTGGAGAAGCGGATTGAAGAGGGACAATAAGGACAAGGATGACAACGTCACGTCACGGGACCGCTTTCGAAGCTTGGCGTGTTTTTTCGAGGGGTTTTTCTCAGAACGAAGAAGTAGAAAGCTCCTCCTTCGCGGCCTCGCCCTCTACCGGCCACCTGTAGAAACGTCCCCCCTATCGCGTCCTCTCTATGGTCTGAGGGATGGCCTGCCTTCAGTTCCCTCCCCCTCTTGTCACTCCGAGGGTTGGGCGTTGTGGATTGAGAGCCGACTCCCGGCTTGAGAGTCAGCCCCGCTACAGTTGGCCGGAGGAAGCTGCCTTCTTGCTGGGAGAGGAAAAGCAAAAGCCCGAAGCGGAGGCACTGCCTCCCACCCTTTGGGATTATGCCCTTCACCACAGCCAAAGTAGCCACACGGCTGAGCCAAGGAATCACCGCCAAAAGAGCAGCCGTGGCACTGTTGTTGGCAGCATATGGGGCTAGGAAGTTGTACCCCATCCTGCGGAGACAGTGGGCTGCCTCAGTCCTCCAGGTGAATGCAGAGACCACCAGCCCCAGAGAGTCAACAGCAAAGTGGAAGGAACTGGAGGTGGACGCTGCATCACCACCTGGTGTCAACAAGGTGTTTTTCCTCCGTCTCCTCCGACTTCTGAGGTTGCTGTTCCCGGGGCCACTGTGCCGGCAGACAGGACTCTTGGCCTTGCATTCAGCTGCCCTTGCTAGCCGCACCTTCCTCTCGGTTTACGTGGCCCAGTTGGATGGACGCTTGGCCCGCTGCATTGTCCGTAAGAACCCACGGGACTTTACGTGGCAGCTTCTTCAGTGGCTCCTCATTGCCCTGCCAGCCACTTTTGTCAACAGTGCCATTCGGTACCTGGAAGGACAACTGAGCCTGGCCTTCCGTGGACGCTTAGTGGACCATGCCTATCGGCTCTACTTTGAGGGTCAGACCTACTACCGGGTCAGCAACATGGATGGACGGTTGCGTAACCCGGACCAGTCGCTCACCGAAGATTTGGTGGCCTTCGCTAATTCCGTGGCCCATCTCTACTCAAACTTGACCAAGCCTGTCCTTGATCTCATCGTGACTTCCTATACCTTGGTCAGTTCAGCTAGATCAAAGGGGGCCGACACAGCCTGGCCTTCATTTATTGCAGGTTTGGTAGTCTGCATCACTGCCAAGGTGCTACGTGCCTGTTCACCAAAGTTTGGCCAACTGGTAGCTGAAGAAGCACGCCGGAAAGGAGAGCTGCGCTACATGCATTCTCGTGTGGTGGCCAATTCGGAAGAGATTGCCTTCTATGGCGGGCATAAGGTAAAGTTGGAGGCAGAATGCCAATATTCTTTAGTAGAAAAAGAAGATTTAATTTTTTAGAAAGAGGAAGTCTGTGTGCTACTTGGACTCTTCCAGTTCCGAATGAGGAATGACAACACAGTCTAATTAGAAAAGTAGAGAGAAGATACTGTGTTTTTATTTTCTGTATTAGTAATTTACCACCATCTCCTATAGAACTCTGCCTAAAGCCCCTGTAGCTAACTCAGTTTCAATTCTGCCTTAGGTGAAATGAAGCTGTCCCAAAACAGATTTAGACCAGCACCCTTGTTTACTTCCTTCCTTTGTTGTCTCCTTGAATATGTCCTGAGGCATATCTGGGACTCTAACCTTGATTATAATCTATAATCTGTCCTTGTTGCTAACTTCAGTCCTTTCCAGCTTCCTGCAAAAATCTTTCTTGGTTTCTGTTGATCCTACCTAATTCTAACAGTTGAAGTAGCCTCAAGGCCTTCTAAGTTTGGCACCGGCTTGTCTTTTAATGTTTCCTATATTCCCAGGCAGAGGAGTGAACTGAAGGGCAGTAAATGTGTATGGTGTAGGGAATTTCTGATTCCCAAATATAGAAATAAGGAATACCAGCAAGGAATATCGGAGTAAATCAAAACTCCTGTTAATAAAGAATGGAGAAAGAAAGGATGTTTTAACACCAGGAAAGAGAATTTGATACTAATAGTCCTATCTTTCATATATCTTACTTTTCCCCATTCTTCAGTGTTAATGCCGCCTTCCAAGGCCAAACATCTCTCCCTGTAGTAACTTCTCTCCATAATTAAGAGCCATTTAAAGTCATGTTTACACAAAAATCACAAGCAAATGGGAATAAATTTTTTCTGCCTTTTTCAAGGTTCACCTCGAATTAAAAAAAAAAGGATCAAAGTGCAACAGTTGCTTTTTCAAATAAGAGCTCAGTAATACCCCATGACCAGAATTAGACATAATAACGTTTATTATGTGATAGATGTCTGCATTGTATCAGCTATTGGATTTTGTAGGTGACATAGGGAAGTTTAGAGGATTCTTAGAGGCATGTATTTATTCCATGGTTTGTGACTCTTCAGTTTATCTTTGCAGTTTGTATTACCTGTTTGCATATAAAAGCTACAATAGAAGGACTGTAATTCAGAGTGCATGTAGATATACACCACAGAGCTAACCTAATGATTCCTTTATACTATGCCGGATGAGGAAATGTCAATTAAACTACATTAGGAATTCATGGAATTCTGATCCAAAGGCTATATACTCTGAGAGATTAAGGCCTGAAGAAGGTGTACTGGGACAGATGAGAGAAGATAAATATTAGATAAGAAAATGTATAGATGAATTAGAGAAGATAAGGAAATGAACAAAAAATGGACAAAAGGGCTGCAATTTTAAATTCTTAACTAAAATTGGGATGGGGAGAGTTCCACTGAACTCAATTGCAAGTAGAGATTTTTAGAACTTTGCTGTAGAGCAACTAAAGTCTAGAATTCTTATCCTTCGTTTTCATCTGTTTATATGGACTGTGTGATTAAGGCTATGAGTTCTAGTTCCACCTTAGGCATGAAAGCTGGCTGAGTGACTTTGAGCTAATCACTCTCTCAGCCCAACTCACCTCACAAGGTGGTTGTGGTGGGGAAAATAGGAGGAGGAAAGAATATTGGATACCCTTAAGTTGTTTATAAAAATAATAAAGGTGGGATATTAATTCTGCAAGGTGAGAGGGACAATTTGGTGCCGTTCATTCATTGAGAAATACTTACCACTGATGACAGCAAACCTCTTTCTTTTTTTAACCCATCCCTGTTCTTTCACAATAGCTTAGCTGAAGGTACAGAAACTCATGCAGGATACTTTCCTTGGAATAGAGGTAGCAGTGCTTATTTTTACTGTTTAAAAACGTATCAAGTGACCTAAGAAGAAGAATTAAAATCTAAGCATCTCTATTCTGCTGTATTTGAGTTTATTGAGAATTATAACTAAGATGTTAGAGATTGGTTCATTTCTCTGTTGTCATATTATCATATCATTGCACTAAAACGCAAGTTTTAATACAATGTAGTGTTTCCTACATGATAGACATCAAGGGGATGCTTAAATCTGCTACTTCTTTTTAAAAATCTTTTTAACATATCCTGTTCCAACTTCTTTAAAGACAGGCTGCTGATCTAAGTTCTAATATGTGATTTCCCCCCTCCCACCTCCATAGAAATAAAGAGTTGATGACTCTTATATATAAATTTGCTGCAGAAGGCACTGGGGGGGGGAATAATTTGGCTGTTACTTCTCAAAATTGTAGAAATAATAACAAACTAAATTCTTTATCTGGGGTTCTCTGAGTTTTAGGTTTATTTGCTCTGCAATCTAATTTGCATATTATAGTAACTCATGGCATTTTTCATCTTGGTTTATTCAATAAACTACAATTGCCTAAATCTGAACAACATTCCACATTATAAATTATGATTAGACCATTATGGCTAGATTCACACAATATACTAACCCATTGTGATTTTATTTTTTTTTTAGTTTCATATGATTTGTGAACCCAGCCTATAAGAACAGGTGTCTCCTTCAATCTAATTGTCCAATTCATTTGGTTTTTATTCTTTTCTCTGATCCAGGAACACATCAGTTTGTCTACATGCACTGGAGTTTCTTTGGTACATTTACATCGTTGAAATAAAATTTATATGGAGATGCCTTTATTTTTGTGGTTGTAAACTCAAGTCACTTTGTATCCTCCTGCTACTCTTTTCAGGTGGAGCTTTCCCTTCTGCGGCATTGTTATCATCAGCTGGCCTCTCAAATCAATGTGCTGCTTCTGGAGAAACTCTGGTATGTGATGCTGGAACAGTTCCTTATGAAGTATGTGTGGAGTGCTGCTGGGCTGGTCATGGTGGCTGTACCGATCATCACTGCTACTGGCTACTCTGAAACAGGTGAGGATGGGAGAAAGAACCAAAAAACCGCTGCTCTTCTGGGAGCAACATGGCCCAAAATAATAAAATGGACATTTAAGCTCATATATTAACAGGCAGGAGCTGGAAGAGCATCAGTATGGAATCATTAAGGATATTTTCAAGGTGATGGCTGAAACACTATTTGCTAATTGACTGGAAGGCTTAGTGAGGGCAGAATAGCCCAGGGCAACTTCTCATTGGCTCATGTCTTCAGGTTTCATATAAACCATTTCCAAACTACTGATTGATGGTGTTACCCAACCATTCCTCTGTCTATATCATGATGACAATGACTGGGTGATGTAGAGATATGGATTCATAGTGGGCACAAGTGTTTGTGTGGCATCTTGTCAGTACCTCCTTAAAGCTAACATGCTTTTTTTTTTCTCCTATGATTGCAGGGCAACATCTGCATGATCCCAAGTAATAAATACATACTAGTTTAAAGGAATTGCTATGTGCACTTACACACGCACTCCAATTCACACTTTCCCCTTCAGATCCAGATGTCTAGAATCACTAGTATAGAAATAGTCACAGGAAAATGCAACCAAGCACAGAAAGATGCATTTTTTGGAAGTAGAAAACTGAACAGATAGGAGAGAACTGCAACAGCCCAGGTGTGCAACACCTGAGAACAAAAGCAGGGTGTCTGAACACCAAAGACTTGAAATATCACAATCTTTTCAAGGTTGGAATAAATATTTCGCAGGTACCAAATATTTGGCCTGGGCGCATATTTATCTATGCCTGCTTGTTTTCACTTGTAACTTTGTTCTTGGTGCTGCTCCAAAGCAAGCACTTGCTTAGAACTCCAGTTTGAGAGGTAGTGGAAAGGCAGAGTGGGCAGCAAGACTCCGGATGACCACTATATGGCAGCAGAGAGTTTTCTGTACATGTATCTCCTTAATTTTGCAACCATGATTGGGTAGCCATTGTAAAGGAGCAAGAGGTAAAATAGGAATGAGTGTTGGGATAAGGGAGTCAAGCTTTCCCCCATCAGCTGGTTCTCCACTAGTTCCCAAATATCTTGGTTTTCCATTAAAAGCCTAAAATCATTCATTCTTCCCCTGTTGATGGTTCCCTCTACTAGTTTGTTTTTTTTCAGTAAGGCCAAAGAATTTGATAGAATACAATAAATTTTGTAAATAAAAATCATGACAGTTCACAAAGATTACTAGGTACAAATAGAAATTCATTATTATTTCTATAGCAAGGAAGATAAAGCAGGAATGGTTAAATTGATTACTTTATTTAAAGGGGAAAATATGTTCTTATTTGGATATCACTTCTGAATTTGTGCTTCTGAAGAAAAAAATGAAACTTTGATCTTGGTTTTGTTGATTAGAAAGATTTGGTGGTATAGAAATGGCTAGTTATATATTAATGTGTAAAAGCAAACTGTTGACATTGGAGTGTGTTTATCCTGTACTGTGCTAGGAAGAGTTGGAAGTCAATGCCCCCTTTTCTTTCTTTTTCTCTTCCCCCTTCTATTTTACACCCCCTTTTCCCCTTTCCCTCCCTTAATTTCCTATTTTCTTTTCTTCTTTTTGTAAAAATAATGATAAATGCAGTTTGTAGAAATACAATTACCTCTTCATGGAGACCATGTACAGGTAATCCTCAAATTAGAGCCAAAATGGAGCCTGCCCAGTACGGTTGGAGTCAGGAGGGCTGTTAAGTGAACTGCCTCGCTTAATAAACCCCCTATCACTGCTCTTCCTGATGCATTTGTTAAATGAACACATTAAACAAACACACAGGTTGTTAAGTGGAGCATGGGGAGCCTCAAGGATGGGCGAGAGCCTGGTGAGGGGGGGTGTTACAGGCACAAGTCCACCTGTTTCAGATTGCCTAAGGCCTCCCCCACCTTCTGAGAGGCCCGATGCTCTGCTTCCCACCCCTTGGGGTCCCCACAGCTGCTTGGGCCTCCTTCTTCTTCTCCTCCTCATACCTTGTCACCTATCATTCACTTACCTTTCAAAGATCTTCACAGCTCAGGAGATCTGAGTAAGGAAAAAGTATAGGCCACACCATTTCTGGGCCACATGACACAATCCCACAAGCAGCCATCTGCAGCGGACATAACTTCAGGATTGGGTCATAAGTACCTTTTAGAAGGGGTCTGTCACAGTGGTGAAATCCTCTGCGGTTTGCCACCAATTTGCTGGCCACGCATGCGTGCTACCCGCATGCATTTGCAGTGCGCACCAAACACACGTTGCGCATGGAAAAAGGAGGTAAATAGAACAGCGAGGGGGGGAACAGCTGTGCCGCGCGATTTAGAATATAAATCACACAGCACAGCTGATTGTCAGAAATACCAGTTCAGACGAACTAGCAGCTTTTTTTAACTACTGATTCACCTGAACTGGTAGTTTTTATTACTACAGTTTGCCCGACCGGTAGCATTTCACCCCTGGTCTGTCATAACTTTGAAGGATGACCAGTCTTAAATCAAGGACTATCAGTATTAACTTCCTTCATGTTATAATTCTTTCACCTGCTAGTTATCCCAAATACATGTCAGGAAAATGATTAAACTATGTAAAATCTTTCTTCACATTTCAGCGTTTACATCTAATGCCACAGATCTTTGAAGGATTAAGGGAAACCTAAAGAATGAATAGATGTCTTCCCCATGAAGCTTTATTACAGAACATTTTAAGACAATATTTGGAGTATTATTTGAGTAATAGTTTTGTGGAGGAATGCCCTTTTTTGTTCTGGCCCCCATCACAGGAGGGTTCTTATGCTGGTATTTTCAACAGGTGCGAGACTGCAACATGAATAAGCAACCTCAGATCGGGGTTTCAACGAAAGTGATTCCTAATAAGAAAATGGGATTCTAGGCAGTAGAAGTCAGTGGAGAAATTGAGAAATTGAGATCCAGCTTTTCTTCCCTGTCACAATTTTGTTCCACCAGATTCAGAGGCAGTGAAACAAGCTGCACTGGAAATGGAAGAGCAAGAATTGGTAAGCTTGAGGACTGAGGCTTTTACCACAGCACGGAGTCTCTTGTCTGCAGCAGCTGATGCCACAGAGAGGGTCATCTCTTCCTACAAAGAGGTACAGATGCTCAGTTGCCTGGGGAAGAATTGGGTCAGACTGATCCTCAGATGAAGGATGTAAATAAGGATATAAAGCCTCTATGTCTTTATAATCTCCTGAGATACAATTCTAAAAGGCACATCCTCCCTAAAGCATGACCTGCATTCAGGCATTGCTTCAGTCTTGCAAGTTCTGAGAGCAGAAAGGAGCCATATCTATGGCCTTTGACCTTGTACCAGTGGTGGGTTGCCCCCAGTTCGGACTGGTTCTATAGAACCGGTAGTAAAACCGGAGGGAGACTCCGCCCACCGACCCCAACGTCCTCAGAACGCTTCTGCGCATGTGGCCCCATTGCGAACCGGTAGTAAAGGTAAGTAGAACCCCCCCCCCCCCCGCCTTATACTGCTAATATTTCATAAGATCAGTTTTCATCTGTTACCACCCTAAACAAACACATTGAATCCAACCATCCTTTATGCTCCTCTCTTCAGAATAAGTCCCATTTTACTAGTATAGTAAATATAGTATTCGTTTCTGAGTAGACATTCACAGGAGCTGGGTAGATCTTTCTTACCTTCTCTATGGCTATCAGATCAGATTGCGAAAATCTAGACAGTCATTAGGTGACAGTAAAGAAATACAGAAGCCTAACTTTGCTACCATCTAGTGGTTATCTAGATTTTCACCTCAGTCTAACCATCAGGCCAACATTGGCCATGTTCATACATTATGCTAGCACCAAACCCTATAGACATCATGGTGGCTTAATTGTCAAGCCATCTCTCAGGTTTATCAATCCTAAGAGCTGCGGTGGTGCAGTGGTTAGAGTGCAGTACTGCACTTCCTTCTGCCTGCTGGCTGCTTGCAATTTGGCAGTTCAAATCTCACCAGGCTCAAGGTTCACTCAGCCTTCCATCCTTCCGAGGTGGTAAAATGAGGACTCAAATTGTTGGGGGCAATATGCTGACTCTGTACACTTCTTAGAGAAGGCTGTAAAGCAGTATATAAGTAAGTACTATTGCTATTGATGTAATCCCTATTTTACCTCCTTTCAAAATAACTGTGATGTGATATTTGTTTTGTAAAAGAAATTTAATTTCACAGAGAACAAGTTTTGTATAGTGGTGAAGGTGCTAGCCTAGAAACCAGGACACTGTATATTCTAGGCCTCCCTTACTCATGAAAGCTGGTTGGATAACTTTGGGCCAGGCACTCTTTCTGAGCCGAGCCCATTTCACAGAATCATTGTGGAGAAAATAGGCAGGAATATTAAATATGGTCACTGCCTGACCAAAACATATTCTTTGCGGTTTGGTCCTCATTCATTCTATCTATATATAAAAAAGTATTTCAAAACACTTCTTTCATATGAGTCACTCATTCAGTCCATATTCATTCAATACCCATTAGTCTTGGCCTTATTTCTTCTTGTTTTGCAATATACACTCCTAAAGTACCCCATTCCTACTGCATTTGATTGACTTATTAATTGCATTTATATCCCTCTCCTCCTGAAGCTTAAATAGTTTACATGAGGATCTTTCCTAATTTCACCTCATAAAAACTGCTGAAGCCTTAGAGAGAGACTAACCGAAACTAATTAGTGAGCTGCATAGGTGATTTGGACTTGAACTTTAAGTCTAGAACCATAACCAGTACATTGAGTTTCTATTTGTATACCTCCCAGGATCCTAGAAAAATCTGACATCAAAATTGCCTTTGTATTGGTGAGGCTTACAAATGTAACAAGAAAAATAAAAAGTTGAGAGGTTCAGGGAAGAGGAGGTGTTTCAGTTTAATTGCTGATGGGCAGAGATACATTGAATATTTTAAATACAGGAACAGAACAGAAGGTAAACAAAAGGTAGTTGCATTAACTGAATAATTTACTATTCCCTAATAGTAAATATGAGGCACTACTTAACTCTGTGGGTTCAAGGAAATACTGGTTACACCCATTTGTCTTTTGATCTGATTGCTACAGTCTTAACTGTCAGTTTGATTATATTTTATGGATTCTTCTTCTTGTGCCATATCCTTCATCGGACATTGGTGATCATGTTGGCAATCCTATGGTATCTTATGGATACCTTTTGCAAATATGATGTGTATGATTTCATATAGGTCTTCACTCCAGCACAGTAATTGTGCTGGAGTGGAGACATAATATGAAATCATATAAATCATAGAGCTGGATAAATGCTTTGAAACATTATTCCGACCTGTTGTGAATAGACCCAGACTTGGGAAAACAACCACCGGTGAATGCCCACTACCTCAACCCCTGGCAAAAGGTCTAATAATTTGATTTGTGGGTTCCCATTCCAGATGAAAATGAATTGTAGTTGTGCCTTTCTTCTCTAGGCAACTGAACTAGCAGGCTACACTGCTCGTGTGTATGAGATGTTCCGGGTGTTTGAGGATGTGAAATGCTGCAACTTCCGACGCCCCGGAGAGCTTGATGAAGGCCAGGCTCAGGCTGGGACAGTTATGAAACATGGTATGCGTGTCGAGGGCTCACTCCAGATCCAAGGTAAAGCTCTTCAACATATCCCCACTTGCCTATCCCTGCAGCTGATTTTGCAATGGCATCCTGCTAGATAAAGATTTCGTGTCGGAAACTGACAAGGATCAAATTAAGACTGTAGCCTTGGACACTCAAGTTTAATTAAGTATTTTCTTTATTGATGAAAGAAGGAATATGGCTGCCACTCCTGTCTTGTGACTGTAGCCACAGACATCCAGAAAGTAGACGTCTTCTAAGTAAACAGGCACAAGCTCAGTCTATGCTGTGGATTTGCTGAAAATATTTATACCCTACTGTTTAGCCTGAGTGACTCCTAGCAAAGCTTACATAAGAATAGAAACAGTCAATCCCTGCCCTCAGGCTTTCAGTCTAAAAATATATGACACAGGAAGAAAATAAATAGGACACACCCACTCTTAACAATTCACCACTCCTGTAGCTGCCAGTTGTGATGGGACTGGGGTGCTCCAGAAGGCCTAGATGATACCTTCAGTTCCAGAAGACATGGTTTCATTCCCAGTAGATCTTACAAGGGGTGGAAAAGGCCTCAGCAACAGAGAGGAGAAATGCTGGCTAGTCTCACACATCACAGTGAGACGAAAGTGTGGCTTATTGGATGTTGGTTTGGTATATTGCATGAACCCTGCCACTGTGGTTTGAAAGCCATAGTTAGGATTACTGTAATCTAATCAATTGGGGTTTATTCAGGAAACCAGTTAAATAAACTATCTTAGCTTAACGTATAAAACAGATTTATGGCCTGATGCTTTTCTGTACCCACACTAAATTCTAAAGAATCGAGGAAAGTTTCCCTTGGTTTTTTTTTATGGCCTCACATTCCCTGAACATTTAGGCTGGCTGCAGGCCATGTAAAGTTCCAACAGCCTATTTTTTTACTTCCAAGTGCAGTTGGTGGAATCCAGAGATACTTATATAATTTAAGCATAATATCTGCAAAAGAATGAAATGATGTTTCTTAATCTGGCTCTCTCCAGATATCTGGGACTCTTTTCTCCAAACAGCTCTGACCATATTGTATGGAAGCAATGGATGTTGTAGTCTAGGTAGTCTAGAGCAGGGGTCCCCAACACCCGGTCCGTGGACCAGCACCAATGCCCGGCATGCCAGAAACTGGTCCGTGCAAACAAGCAAAGCCCCATCCACAGGATGCAGGCAGCAGATAAAACCATGACCCCCTTGGTCCAATGAAAAATCTCTCTCCATGGAACCGGTCCCTGATGCCCAAAAGGTCAAGTGGGAATCAATTTAGGGAAGATTGCAGTAGATTTTTTCCAGTTTTACCTGCCCTTCATTGATGTCAGCCAAGGTTGGAGAACTTAAGATGATCATATCATAGTTTCAAATGTTCTCCTGGGACTTTAAAATTAGTTCTCAGTAGTCTGCCATATATTTTAATCTGCCAAAAGCAATCCCTGCACTTTTTTTTTTAAAGTATATATTTGGTTTTTATCATTATTCCTTCTGTTTTTAAAATGACACATATAGGAATTAATTTTTAATGTTTTATTTATTTGATATTTTATTTTAAGTCAACAAAAACTTAAAATCAATCAGCAAGATGGTTTTCATAATTTAAAAAAACCTTACGAAGGAAAAGCTTGAATGTTTTGCCTTTACATTCTGATGGTTGTATAGGATGTCCAGTTATGTGGTCATAGATAGACTGATATAATAAACCTCAGGCATACGTTTACTAGGCCTTGCTACCAACTTGTCAGAACTGTCTTGGGTTGATCAGCCCATATTATTTGATTTTCTCTAGAGTCTATGTCAGACAAAAAAGAAATGAGGGATGTAGTCTCAGATTAAGTTTAATTCCACACCTTTGTGTAAATTATGCAAGGTCAGCATATTTGAAAGATATAAATTTCATAATCTACTTTGTGAGACTTCCTCCTATTCATTGGTACTAGTTTTGCTTGCCTAAACTTTAGTAATGTCCTGCCTATGATTTTAACTGTCATTACCCTGTTCAGATATATCTTTTACAGACTTTTCCCCCTCCTCTATATGTCTTGACAGATGATTGCTATAATATTCAGTGTAGTTGTAGAAGTAAGGTGATGTAATGCCTGCAGGCTTCCCTTGCTCCTTGTTCAGTGTTTTATGGATCCATCTTTTTCACTTATTTGGTGGGGAGGGTACCGTACTATATTATTGGATACCTGTTTGCTAGGCTCAATTCAGATATGCTAAGCTATAGTTTATGGGAAATGTGCCAGGTATTGATGTGCCTATTATCACACTCCAATTTTTTTAAAAAAATAAATAGGAAACAGTAGGCAGCAAAGCATCAGATTTGATTGCCATTTTTATTTATAAGAATATTTCTGAATTCTACACTAATTTTCAGAGCATTTTTAGAAAATAAAAATTGCCAGATAGCCACAGGGAAAAATAGGGAAAAATTAGCAGAGGTTGCGAGGAACATCCTGCAAAGAGAGATTATAAATAAATTGGGAAATAATTTTACCAGATCACCATCTGATGACTGGCTATTCTCTCTATTGTACCCACTTAATAAACTGTAAAGCCTCAACAGCAGCCATGAATGTGCCCGCACCAAGCTGTAAAATCTCAGAAAGTGTCTGTTGTTTCAGGTTCCACCTATGTGAAATGAGTCATAGAGCAAAAGAAATCATTGACAAAGGGTTACATTTGTTTCTTTCTACTGAGAAGTTCAGCATCTCTTGCAATGAAATGCTTCTTTCATTGTGAATATAACACTCTTGTCTTTTCTTCTGCTTATAGGACATGTGATTGATGTTGATCATGGGATTGTCTGTGAAAACATCCCCATCATCACTCCCACCGGGGATGTGGTAGTCACCAGCCTCAATATCCGAGTAAGTGGTATAGGGCAATCTGTCTTTGTAGATCCTGATGAACTACAATGCCAAGCAACCTGAACCAGCATGACTAATGGAAAGAGAAGCTGGAAATTGTAGTTTGACCATTTCTGAAGTCCACGTGGAGGTGGTCTGAGTGAGTAATAGGAAGACCGGGACTGGGATTACAGCACTGAAGCACTGATTAAAGTTGAGATGTTATATTTTCTAATCTAACTGCATCAATGTAGGAAGCAATTTAAGATTACTTTCATCGAGTAAGGCTGCCAACCTTTGAACTGGCCCTCTGCAGATATTATTTTAATAGGCTCCTGGAATTCAGGAATTAGTAGGTGGCAGTTCTGAGAAGCTTCCCCTCGGAAGCCTGTAAGTCAGCTTGTGATCAAAGGCATAAGACCAGATCAAAACCCTTTATTTTCATGGTTAGTTGATATAGTAGTTCTGTTGGCAAACACATTAACTCAGCCTGTGTTTTGCTGGCCATGGTCTTTCTCTATATTCCTGGACAAAGTCGTGACATGGAAAGGAGAAAGGGTGTCAGGAGGTATTCTGTTGGCTAGAATTCAGAGAACGAGAAATCAAGAAGCAGCAGCAGCAAAGGAGTACAAAAGGGGAAGGGCTAGGGAGTCTCACCTGTTTCAGGGTCAGATAGGATGACTTATGTATTGAGAGGTCAAGTGTGTTTTGATGGAACTGATAGGTAACTTCTGGTCTTTATGGTTTTGCAAGAAGGCTGGGAATACAACGGGAGCTTGAGACCAGATTAAGAAGAGAGGTAGTGAGCTGATGGGGCTCAGAGATTGCTATTAGAGCAAATGCAGTGGTGGGATTCAACCAGTTCACACCACTTTGGGAGAACCTGTTGTTAACTTTCTGAGCAGTTTGGCAAACTGGTTGTTGGAAGAAATCATTAGGGCGGAGAACCGGTTGTTAAATTACTTGAATCCCACCACTGACCAAATGGATAAAATAAGTTTTATTTATTTATTTATTTATTTATTTATTAAATTTTTATACCGCCCCCTCTCCCGAAAGACTCGGGGCGGTGAACAGCCAAAATTAAAAACACACAATACAAATATTAAAATACATTAAAATGAAATTAAATTATCTTTGGCTTCTCCAATTTAAAACCCCTTGCCCATAAAATTCCCCAATTAAAAGATTTTTAACCCAGCCTGGCTTGCTGAAATAAAAAAGTTTTCAGGGCCCGGCAGAAGGTCCGGAGGTCCGGGATTAGTCGTATCCCTAATACTAATCCCTAATACTAATCCCAAATTGCCTGGACAAATACAATTTCTATTGTAAACATTGTTGGATATTGGGGCGGGGAGGGGGGGGAGAGAAAGCTTGGATCCTGAGAAACAATTAAAGCTGCCAAGAACTGGGGGGGAAATGGGGAGAGACTATTATTCCTGTTGTTGTTGTTGTTGATGATGTATCATTGCAGGATGTATGCCTTTTGCAGTTGACCGATGATGTTTTTATCAATGCTAGTGATAGTCAAGTGTTGCTCCAGATGTTTTGCGATATGATTGTTGTTGTTATTGTATTTTTATTCTTCCTTTTTCATATTTTGCTCTGTGCCTCCCCCTTGCAGGTAGATGAAGGCATGCACCTCTTGATCACTGGACCAAATGGCTGTGGGAAGAGTTCCCTTTTCCGCATCTTGGGGGGGCTTTGGCCAACTTACAATGGCACCCTCTACAAACCACCCCCTCATCGGATGTTTTACATTCCACAGAGGTACAGTGGCTAGTATGGCAGGGGAGGGTGGGGAACTGGGGACCAAATAATAGAGATGTAGAGCCCTCTTGGAATGAGTCTGATTGAGTGAGGAATGGAATATGAACAGGAAAACTCTGGATTCCAGAGATCTGAACTCTAGTTTCCTCAAGGTTCTCTTTTTCATATCGGAGAAAGAGAACCGGTACACTGAAGAATGCCCTAGTTTGAAACTCTGCCCTGTCATGAGATTTCTAGATAACTTCATGCAAACTACCGTTGCAGCATTCGGGAGCTTTCCAGTTTGATTAAGTACCAGATTTCATCATCCCAGGATGGCTATTGTGCATGCTAGCTGGCAGTGATGAGAACACAGCTGAATGCCACCAAGCTCAGGAAGGTTTGCCCTCAGCTTCTGCCATCTCCATGCCTCACTTGCTCGTCTGACACAGGGACGCAGCCTTCTTTAAAGGGCTATCAACACCCTAACTATGGAGAGTTTCAGCTGCTCTTCAAATGCCAATTAGTGTGACTTGTTTACTTGGCATTTCACTGTAGACCATACATGTCTGTGGGCACCCTGAGAGACCAGGTGATTTACCCAGATACAGCCAAGGACATGGGACGGAAAGGACATACCGATTCTGACTTGGAACGGATCTTGGATGTCGTCAACCTCAATTATATTGTACAGCGTGAAGGAGGTGGGTAGCTCCCTGGCATGGATGGAGAAGGCAGTCAAGGCAATCAAACACCTTGACTTCTTTTACTGAGGGGAAATATATCCTGTGCCTTGTCTTGCCTTTGGTTTACATGCAGGAGACAGGGAATTGGGGAGGTGGAGGAACTAGACATACAGAAAAAGTAACAGTAGAGCCTCTTCTTTAATTATTTTTCAATCAGGTTGGGAAGCTTTCAGCGATTGGAAGGATGTACTTTCAGGTGGCGAGAAGCAGAGAATGGGGATGGCCCGGATGTTCTATCACAGGTTAGTGCCTAGAACTGCATTTCCAATTGTACTTTATACCGGGGGATGCCAGAAACCATGGCATGCCAGAAACCGGGCCATGTAAACAAGCGAAGCCCCATACATGGGATGCAGGCAGCACTTGAAACCATGCCCCCTCCGGTCTGTGGAAAAATCTGTCTCCACAGAACCAGTCCCTGGTGTCCAAAACCTTTGGGGCCACTGCTTTACACCACTCCCTGGTGATGCTGGATTAAATCACACAAAGAGCTTCCAAAAAATGTGGTTTAGGGAGAAGCAGACAGGATCCATTCCAAATGTATCGGTTGATTTAATCAAACATTATTGTAATCACAGAAGATTCCCAGTGCTTAACAATATAGACATAAAAACAAAACAAAATTCTATAAACAGCAGCAACCGCAATAATAACGATAATAGCTTAATCCAAGTCAGGAGTGGCCACTTCCTTTATTTCCTGAATTGTCTTTGAAATAATTTCACCTTAAGTAGTATTTGGAAAGCGGTCGAGCCTGCCAAAGAACAAGGTTGTTCCAGAAGATAGGTGCCCTTTATGTTTCTAGGTCTCTGCTTCCTTCCTTTCCCATGAGGTGGTTACTGGGTAATTACTGTTTTCCAGTAGAAAGACATGATCCTGATACTGCAAGAGACAGGAATAAAGGAAAGGAAGGGGGCATACAGCACGGGAGGGACAGATGGGGCCCTGGACTAGTGAAACAGGCATTTGGGATCACTGACTTGGGCTCTCTATTCCTTGCCCCAGGCCAAAGTACGCTCTCCTCGATGAATGCACCAGTGCCGTCAGTATTGATGTAGAAGGCAAGATCTTCCAAGCAGCAAAGGATGCAGGAATAGCGTTGCTGTCCATCACACACCGACCTTCGTTGTGGTATGTCTTTTTCTGTGCCCGGGATATTATGATGCTTTACACCAGGGGTTTCAAACTCGATTTCATTGAGGGCCACATTAGGGTTGTGTTTGATGGGGGGGGGCAGGGGGCATGGCCAGCTTGACATCACTTGTGTCAGGAGCGCCTGTGGCGGCCCGAGTGCTCTGCCAGTGAAAACGGGCTCCCATTCTCCATTTTTGGCTGGGACATCCTCCTGCAACCCTCTGCCAGTAAAAACGGAGTTCGGGAGCCCGTTTTCACTAGCAGAGGCACCGTGGACTGATCCTTCCCTGTTTCTAGGGTGGTCCCGCAAGCCAGATGTAAGCACTCCACGTTGAGTTTGACACCCCTGCTTTATGCCTTCCCTCCCTTGCTTAAAGATCTGTGTTTTTTGTTTTTATTTGAATTGATATATCACACTTGTAGCAGATTTTCCCTGGGGTTCCTGATTAGGTCCACCAAAACAACGAGGTCTCTTGTGATATTAATCTCTAAGGTATCACAAGATTCTGTTGTTTTGCATTTACTGTAGCATCAAGTTTCTATGAATTACATTCCATTTCATTAGGATATTTAAAAATGATAAAAGCAGTTGAAATACAATCAAAATTTGGGGAAGGAAACAACATTAAGAGGTCAAATGAAATGTAGGAGGTGCAGACTCACATTTACGACCTTCCTGTAAAACAAAGGAAAACTGAAGTAAGATCATAAGCACAGTTGAGTTGCCAATCCTGATTGGGGTTGCTAAACAAGGATTACCTGTACATTTGTTTGCTTTTGGATTATTACATTGTGTAAACCATAACTTTCGAATTATGATTTACTGTTGTTCTAATCCAGTCACTTACGGTCTTTAGTAAAACATGAATAAACAAGTTAAGGATGTAATGTATGGAATGAGCTATACAGTATGTTAGAGCCCCAGTTCACATGTTCTCTTAGAACATTGCGTTACACCACAGTTTTTCAAAATTATCCATAATTGGCTGCATTCATATTTCATGCTAAGCCACTCAGAATATCAGGAATAAGAACTTGTGACATTCTAAAATCAGTAAACTATAAGTTCTTTGCAGGATCTAGGATGTTCTTTTTTCTTGTATAAGTTCTTTCCTCCCTTTGCAACTGTCCACAAATGCTAGGAATTGCACTGTAACGTAGTGACAGCCTTTTTAGCTGGAAATCAAGATTTACAAACCACAGTCGTACCAGATTCACATAGCATGCTGGGACAAAAGCAAGCAATGTCTTATGCCTTAGCACACGGGTGTCAAACATTTTTCCCATTCGCGGAGCTGGGGTGGGCGTGGCCTGCGCATGAAGCATCCAGCCGCGGGCCACCAATTTGACACCCCTGCCTTAGCATGATATGCAGACCAGTTTCATTTCTTTATCTGTTGCTCAACATCCCTTGTAGAATCCTCTGAGTCCTTTGTCTTCATGCAGAGTTGTTGAGAAAGTAAAGAAGCTGGAGAATTCTTACTAGGTCCTATCCCTGAAATCCGGCCTTATATTCCTGCCTGAGAATACACCTCTTCTATTGCTGTTTTTGTGTGTGTGTGTGTCATTGCTTTGGTTAACAAAGGGAAGGAATTCCAAAAGAATTCCTGTGTTATTACTTTTGCTTACACTCATCCCTGGAATATGTCTGGCAACCGTCCATGATAGCGCCAGGGGCAGGCATATGATTCTTCCTGGAAGCCTGTGCCAACTCAGTGTTTTCCCTGACTGCAAATTCTTTCCTTGTAGAAATCCCTTTTTACCAAATTCTCACCTACTCATAGCCACAAGGTTCAGATGGGCAGGACAGGAATGTGTGCCTAGAAGCCTGGAGGCAGAATTTGCCTCTACCGTGTGGCCAGGAGCTGGTTCCTTTTTCCTAAAGCAGGGACAAAAAAGGAATTTTTTTCATAGGACCTTCTTCCCTAGGAATCCTGGGCCTTTAAGAAGCTTTGTGCCAGGAAAAGAGGCATTTGCTAAACTCATTCTTTCAGTTCATACTGCAAAAGGGGACAGGACCTGTGTATTGAATCTGGCAAGCCTCAAGCCAATCCACTTTCCAAGCCTCAACCCTCTCCCCCCACCAGCCCCCAGTTATATTTCCTTTCCCTCCCCCATTTCTCTGTCTCTCCCTCCCTCCCTCCCCTCCCCCCCTCTCTCTCTCTCTCTTGTCCCTGGCTGCTCTCCCAAGCAGGGAGTCATATCCTCAGCAGGAAATTGTGTGGGCAGGAGCACCATGGTCTCATCCCTGGAGACTGAGAGTGGTTTTGTTTCTGACTCCCCTCCCAGGAGACAGCTTAGTGGAAAAATCCCTCCCCCAAACCCCTCCTACACATAGGACATTTGTCTAGAGGAATGAGGAACAGTAACAGAGCCAGTGTGGGCGAGGTTGACCTTGAGCAAGGAGAAAGATGGCAAGCTGAATGCAGAAGTTGTATCCTGGAACGGTCTCTCAATAGCCTCTATCCTTATTTTCAGGAAGTACCATACCCACCTCCTCCAGTTTGACGGGGAGGGTGGCTGGCGGTTTGAGAAGCTGGACCCTGAAGCCCGTTTCTCCCTGCGTGAGGAGAAGCAACGCCTGGAGCAGCAGCTGGCTGGGGTCCCTGAAATGCAGCAACGTCTCAGCGAACTCTGTCAAATATTGGGTGAAGATGCACCCTCTACAGTGGGATAGGTTGGTGATTTTGGGTGCCTTCCAATCTCCCTTCCCTGCTGGCTTGGTGAGAAGGATCCTAACTGTGACACTCTCACCTCAGGAGTTGCACAAGATGGCCAGTTTTTGTCCCAGCCACCCAAGGAGCAGTTGAGGATACCCTGCGGGAGGGCATTACTTATTTCTGGCACCCATTAATTTATTCTGCCTCAGTTTAGGGCTGGAGGAAGAAAGGGGTTGCCCCACACTGCCAATATCTCTGAAGCCAGCCCTCTCAATCCCCACACACATGGTGCCTCAATACCCCTAGATAGTACAAGTTCTTCACTAGTGGGAATTGCACTGGTCCACTGCCAGTCTCGAGCCTCTGTACTCATGGACTTTTTGGAGTAACTTCTCAGCTACTGCCACCTCACCAACACAGAAACTTCAGCCGAACCAATCACAGCCTTTCTTCGCAGAAACACTGCACATATAGCACGAGTGAACAGAGCTTTTGCCAGCCTCTTTCTTTCTGGCCTCCACAGCAAGGCTGCAACATTTGGCTCCACTGGCAGATTTCTGGTACCCAAACTGCTCCTTCTTTAAACAGCCCTGGAGCAAAGCAGAAAGTTAAGAAATTCAGTTAGGTTGATTATGTTCTATGAAATGCACATATTTTTCAAGCACTTACCCATCGTCTCGTTAAGAAACTCTTTGTGATATAGGGCAAGTTGCCTAAGGAGGTCCCGGATCCATGAGGCCCATCTTCTGAAGCTACCTTGGGATTTTGTGTCTCTCGTTCCGAGCATGCTCAGATGGTACCAGGGTTCACCATCTGGTACCCTTATAGATGATTCAAACTGTGTTGCCGACAGCACATCTTTGTAACCTCTGGGATCTCACCACTGCATTCGAAGGATGCTCAGTAAACGGGAAGAAAACCACTGTTTGGGATTTACTTTAATGTTGTGATCTTGTAAGGTCAGATTTTGCAGTTTAAGACTATCCAGCCATTCCCAAGGGTTTGCCTGCATGCCTTCTGATATGGCGAAGGCCTTCACTTTGGGGAGGAAATGACCCTTTATTGAGGGAGCTGTATTTCAATATCACTCGCCGATGGAACTGGGTCCGTCAAATTGGAATTTCCTAGAGAGACTACACCAGAATTTCCTAGAAATATTTTTATTGTAAGTACTCATTTGATTTAGACTTCTCCGACGTTCTCATTTTCTGTAGACCATGAAAGGCTACGCGGGTTCCCAATTCATTTAGTCCCTTGCCTGAAGCAGGATACATAAAGGCATATTTATTTGCCAGCTATAGAGCTTTGCCAATCTATTTGCATTGGAATAAGATCCTAGCCTCTCTTGATTGAGGATAAAGCATGTTGTAGCTCCTGTCTCAGCTACTGTGTGCATATTATTTTATCCTGCCACTTTAACTGATAGGTTTTGTAGAGGGACTACACTAGATAGGAAAAGAATAAGTGGGTCCCCTTTTATGAGACCACCTACATTAGATTATTATTCTTACTATTATTACAATATTTTTTGTCTGCTTCCCGCCCCCCCAAAAAAAACCCAAAATCATGAAATGGTGAGAATTCCTACTGTCATGGTTTAAAGTACTAATATCAACTTTCTCCCTATGAAATAAAAAACCAACAAACTATTATTAATATTAGCGCCAAGGTCCACCCAACAATTCCTTTTAGTAGGAACTTCATTAAACCTGATATCAATCTTATAGACTGTCTTGGCCCACGATTCCTTTGTTTTCCAGAATTTCGAGCCGCTGGGATCCCACTCATAACATCCTCCCGCGTATCCACATTTGGTTAAATCTGCCTGTGCAGAGTAATGAGGCGCTTTGTGGGGATTAAAAAAAACTGGACTGGTTTAGATTTTGCAAGCTGTTGTATTCTTTAAAAAATACTCCCTCACTTCTCCCTCATAATTAAACAAAACAAAGAACAGCACAACAAGGAAAAAAGCTTAAAGAACCTTTTCTCCCACACATGCCCCTTGAGGAGATGTTGGATTTCTGTGGTTGCTCAAAAGCCCAGTTCCTATCTCCACCATCCATGCCTGTAGTTTGAAGTAATACTGCTTACTTCGTCATATTCAGCTGAATGAGCAGATGCAACCTTTTAGTTCCACCATTCTATTTTGTAGAAACGAGAAAGTCACAATCCCACAGTTGCTGCTTCCTGCAGATCAAAAGAGAAACTCTTAACAGTTCTGTGCTGCTCTCTGCCATCTCCTTGACTCCCACAAGAACTTGTGGTATTTGCTACCAGTGACCCTTCACTGGTTATGACCCTATTGATATATTTTCCAGCCACAGACCCATCAAGCCTGGCTGTCCCAATCTCACCAGTAAAGTCCAAAACATTTATAGGGAGGTTTCGGTCAGCATCAAACTACTTGTCTCGTACCCTCTAGAACAGATCTTTAATTCAGATTGTACCAAGACAAAAGGGGATGGGTTGATTTGTGATGTAATGCAATATTGTGATTTGTAAAAAAAAAACATGGTTCTTGGCTTTGCGTGAATTCATCCAGCTATCTTAATCAACAAAACATAGTTTTGAATGAGGGTGAAGAATGATGTGTGAAACCTGTCAATATGTACGTATATAAGAGCAGATTGGATATTGGAGGGAGGTTCCAGATGCTGAGAAGCTTGATGAAGGAAATTCATCTTCTTCTTTTTCCTCCTCTCCTTTACTGTATTGTGTAAGTGACTAGTTTTATATACTGTGTGTCCGCATTTTGTAAAGTATTTTGAAATAGCATTATCAGATCTATTATGGGCCATTTTATGAGCCTGGTATGTTCTATCTACTCTTCTAGAAAACAAGCAAGCAGAATTGTTTTATTGCTTATGGGGAGGGGGAGAGAACAGCAAAAGCCAAAGAGTGTGCCATTGAGATTGTGCATCTGTCAAATGTAAAATTCTCACTGCAGCACATAGCTATTTCCATTTATTAGCTTTGATGTCAAAATCATGCAAACTATGCAACAAAGATTTTCTTGGTAGTTTTGGACAGGCAGGACTACCCACTCTTTCTTCTGTCCTCACAGTGCCTTTTATGCTGGCAAAGCCAGGTTTATTCAGATGATGTTAATAAATATGGTGAAACACAAACAATTGTCTGTGTGATTCTGGGTTCATTAACATATGTCAGAAATGGGAATTGGAAAGTGTCAGGCTCCAAAAGTTTGAAAGATTATTTCAATAAACCAGATTATTATAACACATGATCCTTCCCTCACTCACTACAATAGTCAGTTTGGTGTAGTGGCTAAGATGCTGGCCTAAAAACCAAGAGACTATGAGTGCCAGACTGTGAGTGCCATGAATGCCAGCTGGGTGACTTTGGATCAATCCCTTTCAACCCTACCCATCTCACAAGGTTGTTGCTTTTGTTCAGAAAATAGGAAGAGGAAGGAGTATTAAGTGTGTTCCCAGTCTTAAGTTACTTATAAATTAATAGAGGCAGGACAAAAATAAAATAATAGGAATAGGTGCAATCCCAAAACAACTGGAGCACCATCTGAACATCTTCATTGTTGACAAAACCATCACTGGTCAATTGCAAAAGGCAGCTTTACCTGGAACAGCTTACATCCTGAGACAAAATACCTTTAACACCATCAAACAACAACATCGGCCCATCCGAGGTCCTTTGGAAGGATTCAATAGGTGGGTAAAAATGCCAAACCCAGTCTAAACATCTGGCTGACTGACAAACCACAATAACAATTCTGCCTATCTAAAGATGAGCAAGATGAAATCATAAATTCATTGAGTCTGCAGGAGATTATTCCACCCACCTTTCCCTGAAAAGGACCTGTCAGAATCAAGAGACAATCAAGGTAGACAATTTGCTCTTATCATTACAGTGTAAACAGGAAGGTGAGCTCTTATCATGGTTGCCATAGAGGCAACAAGTTCCTGAGGCCTTCCAGAGCTCACCCTCTGGGCCATGTACTCCCAGAGAGAATTGTTCCAGCAAACCCTTTCTAATTACTAATTACCTAGAACAGGCAAAACGTGATCAACAAAACATCTATCTTATAAAGCTAAATCTTCCAGGCAGATTTGAGGTACTTTTCAGGCACTTTTAGTTCCACCATCTGCTGCTAATGAATGTTTTGCCTCACCCCTAATGAATTTGGTAATTATTTTATACTCAGAACTGGGGTGGAAAATCCGAATTACAAGTTTAGCACATGGCAGATTTGAGTAATTTAAATGATGCTGCATTGTGTTATGGTATGTTTAACACCAGCAGGACATTCCACCATTATCAATTGAGAGAACAGCCTTCTCATCAGTTCCTGCTGGAGCAATGAGTCACAGATTGAGAAGGACCCCTTCATAGGAATCAGATACTATGAATTCTAAAGGGAAAAAATTCACTTTCTGAGATTTCTGTAACCTTATCCTAAACTTTTTCAATCAATCCTGGAAAGCCTTACTTTTTGTAGCAATGGGGCAGCCAATAACTTGATATACTGGATTTTTTCCCCCTTCTATAATAGAAGAGATGAGTGTCAAAATAATTTCAGAAAACCTGCCACCCCCATACCACTGGTCCCTCTGATCATTTTCCTTTTGTAAACTCTTATTTTTCCATCAATATTTTCAAGATTCCAGAAACACATCTTTCTTCATCCTTTGCTGGAAAAAAAAACCCCACAATCCCTCAGTATTGTTGCTCATCCCTATAGCTATTTAAAAACTATACAAAAATTGTTCAGGAGTAACTACTGTTAGCAAAAGATAAATAGTTGAGTCAATTAAGGAAATATTCAAAATGTATCTAGCTTATCCAGGTCAAGGTTCCTTTCAATTTTTTAAAAAATCACCTTCACTAAGTTCTACTACCATCCTCAGAAAAGATTTCTTCTTAGAATATAATTGTTACATATATGTTCAAAATATAGGCATATTCTTCTGTCATTTTTCTGGATAACCTGGTGTGGGCATTCCTTTCTAAGCATCTTGGTAAGATCCTGAACTGCTGTTCTCAACATGAGCAATGAATGTGGGCAAGGAAGATGCTACACAGGTAGTCCTCAATTTACAACAGTTCACTTAGTGACTTTGAAGTCATAACTGCAGTGAAAAAAGTGACTTATGACCAATTTTCACACTTATGACCATTGCAGCATCCCGCATGGTCACATGATTTACATTTGGATGCTTGACAACTGACTCACATTTAGGTTGCAGTATCCCGGGGTCAAGTGATTCCCTTTTGTGACCTTCCGACAAGCAAATTCAACGGGGAAGCTGGATTCACTTAACAGCTGTGTGACTAATTTAACAACTGCAGTCATTCACTTAACAAATGTGGCAAAAAAAAGTCGTAAAATGGGGCAAAATTCACTTAACAAATGTCTGACTTAGCAATATAAATTCTGGGCTCAATTGTGGTCATAAGTCGAGGACTACCTGTACTCCATACTCACCACCCAACCTTTCCTTGTTTTGACTGGAATCCACTAGTTTAAGGGACCCCTCAGTGGTGAGGAACCAAAAGATTCCATTAGGATTTTTCTGGAAAGGCCCTCATCAATAAAATCACCAACCCCGTAACTTTCATTTAATGAATATTCATTGGATTTGTTGATTCCTCACAGCAAATGCGGCAAAGTATGCCTTGGTTGCCTCACATTTGGATTAGTGCAGGAGTCTATTGGCCAGATTACTTAATACCAAATCCTAATCTGGATCTGAAAGGAAAAACAAAGCAAAAATATTACCTTGTTTAAGAGACATTTATAAATGTTTAAGCAATTATCATAATCCCTTTTTAAATTTAAAATCTGTCATTTAAAAATTAATTTCCTGAGTTGCATGACATTAGACAAGTGCCCAAGGGCACGTCATCCCATCTCAAAACCCAGTATATCAGACTGACAAGTGCAGGTTTACTTTTTAATTATCAAATCAGTGTGCAAACGTGAATGCATGAATTCTTTTTCAAAAGGCAAAAGGGGTTGTTTTGTTTATTTAGGCCAAGATGGACATTTTGGGGAAAAAGTGCAGAGGCTGCAGTCCAGAATGTCTGTGTCAACAATTAAAAGATGTGACCAAAGATGCAATGATGATAAACCCCAAGGTAACCAAGCCCAGTTTCTTTCTTTCGAAATTCATCCTAATTGAATAAAAGCTAGTCAAGCTGCATTGAAGGGATAAGGTTATTCATGTACCACATCACTGTAGATAAAACTCTGGAGAGTTTCAGAACACATCTATGTCAAAATGGCTTGTGGTAAGTAGTGGCTGTGGTCCAGGAGTGGTATTCACTTACCTTCCCTACTGGTTGGCAAATGTGCATGCGCTTTTTTATGCTTTTGATGATTTCCCTTGGCTTTCCCAAAGAGCCAAAATCATTTCTGATTTTGTCAACCCAACTTATACGTAAGAACCGCCTGTAAATCCACATCTAACCTCATGGTTAGATTATTGCAACACGCTCTACATGGGGCTACTCTTGAAAAGTGTTCAGAGACTACAGTTGGTCCAGAACGCAGCCGGGCGAGCTGTCGTGGGTGCACCTAGGTACACCCACATTACACCAATTCTCCGCGAGCTGCACTGGCTGCCTATTGGTCTCCGATCACAATTCAAGGTGTTGGTTGTTACCTTTAAAGCCCTACATGGCTCAGGGCCAGGTTATCTTTGAGACCGCCGCATAGCTCCCAGCGACCGGTAAGATCCCACAGAGTTGGTCTCCTCCGGGTCCTGCCAGCTAAACAATGCCGGCTGGCGTGTCTGTGGGGCAGGGCCTTCTCTGTGGCGGCTCCAGCTCTCTGGAACCAGTTACCTCCTGAGGTCCGGACCATCCCCACCCTATTGGCCTTCCGAAAAGTGATGAAGACCTGGCTTTTCCGACAGGCCTGGGGCCGTTGATCTCGCTCTTGTGATCTGGAGAGATCCGGCCATGAATGGCGTGAATGAGTTTTTAATGTTTTTAATGTTTTTAATGTTTTTAATTTTTAAATGTTTTTTATAATGATTTTTTAAAATGTATTGTGAGCCACCCTGAGTCTTCAGAGAGGGGTGGCATATAAATTGAATTAATTAAATTAAATTAAATTAAATTTTAAATGCTTCTAGTCGCTTCAAGTGACTTTCTGTCAGAGACCAACTCTCCACTCCGTAGAGCAGAGGTGTCAAACTCAATTTCATTGAGGGCCGCATCAGGATTGTGTTTGACCTTGATGGGCTGGTGTGGGTGTGGCCAGCTCTATATCACTCGTGTTTTGCCTGTGAAAATGGGTTCCCGAGCTCCGTTTTCTGCTGCAACGGCCTCCTGCAATCCTCTGCTGGCGAAAACGGCATGGCCCTCCCAAGCTCCGTTTTTGCTGGCAGAGGCACCACAGGCTGGTCCTTTGCTGTTTCCAGGGTGGCTCCGCGGGCCAGATCTAAACACCCAGGGAGCCGGATCCGGCCCTGGGGCCTTGAGTTTGACACCCCTGCTGTAGAGTATAAACTACCAGGAATGGCAATACTGTACCTATCAATTAGTGAGGGACTATTCCAATTCCACAGACTGCCTTAAACAAAAGAGTTTACTAGAATTGAAATTGAAACTGAAAATTGAATTGTATCAAGCAATGCACAATGTTCTGTCCCTTGGTTCCAACACCATCATCCCCATCCTTATGAGGTAGATTAGGCTGAAAATGAGCAACTGGCCATGAGCACACAGTGAGTTTCATGGCTGAGCCAGGGTTTGAATCTGGATTTCTCTAGGCTTAATCCAAACACCTGGAATGGCTGTGAATTTTTTTTTCCCAAGTGCATCTTTTCTGGCATCTGACTCTCTTTGAGCAATGGAGAATTCCCTAGCTTAATTGGCACATTCTTTCGCTGCTTATTTATAGACAACAGATGAGCCTACAATAGATGGCACTTTTCTTAATCCAAAAATTAATTCTGGGCTATAATCCAAGCTTGTTTTACAACCACATGCTAATGTGTAATTGCTTTGAGAATCTCAGGCATTTCTTTATGGTAAAAATCACTATCGGGGCTTATGTAATTTAATAAGGAATTGCTTAATTGCTAACGCTAAAAACTGATGACATTCATAAAAGCAGGGGTTTATCCTTGTTCAGGAATTTGCCGTA